AAACTCATACCCTGCTGGTCTGTGTGGGATTCTCCAGTCTCAAACTGGAGTATTTCATTTACATCACTGTTGTCTGCTTGGTGGCATTCATGATTATTAGGCACACAGATTTAGCAGAGAAAGCATTGGATCACATGAGAGTGTGATTTCTTTTAAACTTCAGGCATTCAGTTCCTTAATTTAATTATTGTCACTTTCCTTTTCCCTTCCATCCTGTAGCCCTCCCTCTGTTTCCAGGTCTTCTTTGCATTTGCAAAACATTTACCTGCCTGCTTCCTATTATCTGTCTTTTATTTTGCTGTTTATGTTATTCATACTTTGGGTTTTTCATATAAGAGAAAACCATGTGATGTGTAACCTGTGTCTGATTTATTTCATTAACATGGTTGCAAGATACATCCATTTTCCTACAAATGTCTCAAATTTTTTTCTTTCCAATTTTCTTTTGTTTTTTATGTCTCACGATAAAGCTTAATCTTGCTTCAAACTCAGTGTGTAACACAGGTTGACCTCAAACTGGAGACAGTTCTCCTACATCACCACACCAGGCAAATGTATCCTTCTTTCTGGCTGAGCAGTACTCCATTGTATAGAAATATATATATATATATATATATATATATATATATATATATATATATATATTTGGTCTTTTCATTTTTATTGGTACCGGGGATCGAACTCACGACCGCCTGCTTGCAAGGCAGGCGCTTATGCTGCTGAGCTAAATCCCCAGCCCTAGAAATATATTTTTAAAATCCATTCATGGGCCGGGGATATAACTCAGCAGCAAAATGTCTGCCTGGCAAGTGCAATGTCCTGAGTTGAATTCCTGATACCAAAAAAAAAAAAAAAAAAAAAATCCATTCATGTGTTGATGGACAGATAGGCAGCTTCAGTATTCAACTGTGATGGATTGTGCTGCTTGAATGTGGGTTTTCACGTACAGCTGTGATATGAGGTCTTTATCTGTTTTAGGAAGATGCCTAGATGTGAAGCAGTTGAGTAGAATGGAATTTCTAGTTTTAGTTTTTGAGGAACCTCCATACTGATTTCCATAGTAGTTATGCTAATTTACATTCTCACTGACAATGCAAAAGTGTTCCTTTTTCCTTATTGCCTGTTATGATTGTATCTAGGTGCCCCTCTCCCTGCCTCCAGAGTCTCACGCACTCATAGGTGGGGGTTCTCAGAGATGGCTGGATCCAGGATGTACAAACTTGAACTAGGGGTGTGTGATACTGGATTAGCCCACTGATTGGGTTAGCACAGCTCTGGGTGTGGCTGAATGGATTTAGGAAGACAGAAACCCTATCCTGGGTATGAGTAGCACCAACCAGTAAGCTTGGAATTTAAAGGAAAAGGGAGATTCTGTGCTCTGCCCCCTGCCTCCTTATCATGGACTCTCTCTCCTCTCTGCCTTACCCTTCTGTCATGCCTGTCTGCTTTGGAATCAACTGAGCAAAACCTCTACAAACTGTGAGCTAAAATACAGTTATTCTTCATCTAATAACCTACCTGTTTAACAATTGTTTGGACTTGAAAGCAAGGTACACTGCTGAGACTTAAAATCCACTGCTCACGCTTAGGACTTAACTTTTTTTTTTTTTTTTGATACAGTTCTGTATGTTCTGTTTATAGAGCCTGAATGCCCTTTTTTTTGTACAGTGTCCCTTGTTTATGTGATACTGTAATTTCTGCTGATTGTACAGTACAGTGCTGTAGTTTCAAATTTTGTTATACAGTACTGTGTGTAAGAGTTATGTTATGCAAATAAAAGCAAAGTTATCACATTGGGGTTTCTTTTGACCATTTCCTTCTCCTGAAAGTTGTAATGTGCATACTGAAATACAGATCCTTATTTAGTGGCCAATTCCCTTAACAACCTAATCACAGGAACAGGACTCAGTTGTTAAATGAGATATGTCTGTAAGCCTTTCCTACTTTAACATGTCCGTGTTGGGTACTTTGTCCAAGCAGTGAGAAAGTAACTGAGATGCAACTGCACCGACATTTGTTAGTTGGTTTCTAGTCTTTAGCCATTCTTTCTGGAGTAAGATGGGATCGCAGTGTTGTTTTAAATTGCATTTCTCTAGTGGCCAGTTGTGCTAAATATGTTTTCTTTTTCTTTCTTTCTTTCTTTAAGAGCAGAATATATTTATTGAGAGAGACAGCAGGGGTCCCTAATGGGCTGCCAAAGGCCCCACCTTTCTAGGGATTTTTTTATAAAGCAAAACGACAAGGTGCAGCGTGTCCAAGGTGGGGAAAAATGGGAACCTGCAAGGCAGGCTTGGGTGGGACAGAAGTATGGTCAACCAATAAGATCACAAGTATAGTTGCTCGGGTAAAATTGATTAAATCAAGATCAGAATTCAGGAAAGCAAGTCACATAGCAAGTGGGCAAGAATTCAGAACAGGATCTTTGCTGTACAGGTTGGATTAGTGGCTCTTTCTAGTTTCCTCAAAGTGATGGATACCTGTTTAGAATATCAATCCCTGAAGTGTATCCTTAGGGTGTGGCTGCGTTTGTTTTGTCTTTTGTCTTGGTATCTGGCCCAAAGCAGGAGGTGCTTTTTTTCCCACCATAGTTGCAAGATATCTGGCTCCTTGGAAAGCCTGGCCTTGTCTGGCTGCCTGTAATATTTTTATCTAACTCAGTTGCCTATAACAATCCCCCCTTTGAAGAAGTACTCTGAACTGCCATGAGGAAAAAATGGATAATGATTGATCTGGCTTTTTCAGGCTGAAGGGGATTGTAGTTGTTGATTGGCAGGCAGAGATGCTCTACAGTGTCTGTGTAAAGTCCCTCAGTAGGCACCAGGCATTTTCATCTTGGGTAGGCATACAGCTTGAAGCCTGGAGGAGACAAAGCCAAAGAAACAATTAAGTATGCATGGGTAAATAATAGAATCAGATTACAGGATAATTATGAGTACAGTTACCAAAGATTTCCACCAAGAGGACCCAGTAATGGTTTCCCATGAGGAGGATAAGGATAAGATGTCCAGAGAATTTTAGAGTCTGACATGTCATTGATGTGTCATCTGATACCTTGAGCAGCTATTGAGATATTAGCAAAAGGATCAGGAATGTACACACAACATTCCTCTGCTAACTGCTGTTACTAAGACTAAGACTGCAGACTAAAGAAGCTCCAGGGCAAGATCCTCATTAGTTTAACATCACCAGCACCCTCTGAGTCCTCCGATTATCACCTCCTCAATCAGTAAATGCCAAGGTTCTGGCTGCCTTGCCCCTTTTACAGCTGAATGACAGGTCCTCCCGGATCCCCTGTCCCTGTCCCGCTGTTTTGTGTGTGGCTCTTTTTTTCCACCTTCTGCCCTAACTCCTGGCAGGAGATTGGGACCCACGGAGGGGTCTACAGTGCCAGCTAATAAACTAGGAAAACTGACAGTATATTGTAATAATTATTTAAACCATATGAGTTGTTTATTTCTGCAGTTTTCTATTTAGTCCTTTCAGTTTGCCGATGGCTGTGGGGAACTAAAGCTGCAAAAATGTGAAACTGTGGATAAGGCAGGACAGCTGCATAGAGCATCACATACTGTCACCACGCTTGCTCTCTGTCTGTCTCTGTCTCTCTGTTTCTCAAGTAGAGAGAGAAAGACAAAGAAAATCCTGGGGTTTCTAACTTAGTATTAATAGCCTTATTTCATTTTATCGTATTTATGTGACCACTGATGCAAATGATTAATTTTCTGTATACAACATTGATACAGACCTTCCTTTCAAAATAACTTACTTAAAATATCAGTGTAAAGAATATTACATAAATTGACAGGTGGCTATGACATCTGAGTGCAATCTACTTGACTATTAGTAAATTGACTGTGATGGCTATGACAAACAAGTAAAGCCAGCATGTTAATACTAACATTTATAGAACCCTCGAAAGCAGTTGATGCCCTTCTGAGCTTATGTCCTCATTTATAAAATGTTCTTTCATGTGTTAGCAATTCAAGCAAGATATGTATTATCACCACGAGACTGGGTTGAGGATGTGGGAAGTGTATTATCCAACTCAATAAAATATTGACCATAGTGTGGGTCAGATATTCCCTTTGAAATAGTCAATAAAAGTTACCTGTCTAGTTAGAGAGTGCAAGATGATGCTGTGCTAACTCCAGTGTCTCATGCAAAACAGGACAAAAATCCATTTCTTGCTCATGTATGAGCTTTAGGTGAGGCTGCTGCTCGTTAGTCTGTTGGAGCACAGCCAGGCAGTTCTCTGCAAATCTGTGGGAGCAGGAAGCAGGTGGTACCTCACATGCCTGCCCTTAGGGTTCTGCCCAGAAGGGACATCTGCCACTTCCAGGTTTCATTAGCCAAAGCAAGTTCCATGCTAACTTCAAAGGGGCAGGAAAATGCAGTATTACCTTACTTTCAAAAAAGGCCAGCAGCCAGATAGAATTGGTGAGGGTCGTGAATATTACACCACCCCACAAAGCATCTGTTAAACAGTTCTGACATATCCTCTAGATGGAGACATGTAGCTAGCTCATGACCCTTAGGAGGGTCAGACTGGTGCTTAGGAACTGTATCTCTCAACCTCTAACTAGCTCCATTCTGTGTATAGAGAGCACAAAAGGAGGCATTTGCTGCAGGTGGATAAGGTAAAATGACCTGTCCTGAGAGCTTCTGCTCCTCTGTTGGGTTGGGCCACTTCATTTCTGCAAGTATTTATGATCCAGGTGTGAGTGTGGCTGAATTACTGACACAGGACAAAATCTGGGTTTCTCCCAAATTTGCTTATTTATGTGGTCTGTAGATGTAATTACTTTACAGAAGTGAAATTGCCCTTCATAGTTTTACTCACAGTAATTGCAGGAACTTTTCTAATTTGAGATCACTTAGCAATGGATTCAGGACCCATACTTGGTTTATTTCAGGTCAGTTGAAAATTTAATCCTGTAACCTCGGGATTTCTTTTTCAAAAAGTAGAGTTCCACACAGCTTTTTTCTGCTTTGCTTTCTTTCAGACTCCTGTCAGAGGATGTAGGAATGGACGCCCCCTTTGAGGAGGGAACACTGAGTCCCAGCGCTGCAGACATGAGGCCTGGTGAGAGAGGCATTTGCTCCTTTCCTGCAATGGCGTTCGCGCCCAGACGTTTGTTACTCACAGAGAGGACTGTCTCCTGTGCATCCAACCTTGGATTTCACTGGTGAAAATATAGAAGGGGAAAGTGCAAGACAAAAGTGTCCAGCTCAATTTGATTAATTTCAGAGTCCACTCGAATATTAATGCTCACTAATATGGACTGTACTTTATCTCCTGGGCTACAGCCTTGTCTGCCAAAGTTTGCAGTTCCTGTGATCATTATAGTATATTACATTACCAAATTCTAACTGAATTCACCAAATTTATGCATAATTTTAAGACTGTTTAAGATAAAGAATGTTATATTAAGAAAAGCTTAGTGTTCTAATTATAAAAACCACACCATGGGGGAAAGTGTAGCTCAGTGGTAGTGCAATTAGGTTGTATGTGTGAAACCCTCGGTTTGGTTCCTAGCACTACAAAAACAAAACAAAGCACATAACTACAACAACAACCTTGTATTATAAGGCTTTAAGCCCAAGGCATATACAGAAAAAAATTTAAAGTTTCATTTGCAAACTACCTGATTCTCATTCTGTGCTAGCGTCACTGTCTTCAACCATACCAAGTTTAAGATTACCCTGAGATCCTGAACCATGGGATTTTTAGCCAAGTCTAGAAGGGTAGAGAGAAGGGAGGTAACTGAATTTGTTTTCTGTTCTAATATTTAAAGTACATTCTTGGGAATACTGGTCCTGTAACATAATTATTTTTAGATTTTTGTAACCATTGTATGTCTCTTAAATACTCACAAAGTGCTTTGGAATAGTAAAGGCACCAAGGCTATAGTTAAGCTGTATGGTAGCGGTTAATACGTAAAACTCTTTAAATTAATTGAGATTAATAGTAAAAATTTAAAATTCCATTCTTCAATCACATTAGCCTCATTTTTAATTGCTCAGTAGCCATATATAAAACATTCCCATCATTACAAAAATTCTTTTGGAAATCACTGACCTAAGAACTCCTGTAATATAGAACCCAGTATTTTCCAAATATTACAGAAACTTTTTTTCTGATGAAAACCTTACATGGTACACAGTGTGGGTGACATTGTATACAGAAAAGAAAGATCTTAATGCAAAAGGAACTGTGCCAATTTCCTTAGCCCAGGCCAGAGTTTGAATTGTGGAGTTGAGGGATATACCAGATGTCCTTCAAAATCCTTCATGCTGTAGAAACTGGTCGCTTCATTAAATAAAGACAGGAAACTTTTCTTTTACAGTACTCTCACAAAGACAGAACACTTTAATGGCCAGACATACAGGAGTTTTTCCACATGCACCAGGCAGTTCTCTAGAGAACTCCAACCAGGGTGTCCTATAATTCAGTCCTGGGACTAACTGGAGAGAGTGCCAGCTCCCAATGGCCAAAGAGCACAGTTCCACAAGACACCAGGGACCATTGCAGGGGTCAGGCTGCATTCAGGCTTCTGACCAACCAGCTTTCGGGTTCACACAGACTTTTCTCAGGCTTAATAATTTTCTAGCACAGCTCACAGAACTCATGGAAACACTACATTTACTGGTTTAATAGAGAAGATACAAAGGACACAGACAAATAGATGGCAGGGTTCATAACATGATGATCATTTCAGATTTAAGGACTGAAAACAAAGGGCTTCTTTTGGGAGTCTTAGGAATTGTAATTCAAGAAAACACAAACTCATGTAGCTCGGAGTGAATGCTCTAAAGAAGTTCAAGTTGTACAGGTTGTTTTTAAGGGAAGGAGAAGCTGAAGACAAAGGAAATCACTAGTTACATGTAAAGGGAGGAGGTGCAGAAACGTTGCCCTAACACTGGGCTACCCATCGTGAAGCTCTGTTTCTTTGACTTATAGGACTGTCTCTAGATAAAAAATAATTTGTCCTTTGTGACGGTTACTCCTATATTATTCATTAAAAGATAGTGGTCTTTGCAGAATTGGCCCAGTTTAAAATTTCGCATTGCTGTACTAGGTTCAAGAGTTCATTTTCTTCAGCAGAAGCCTGACATGTATAATTCTTGGGTCTCTGAAGACTTCACAATTCCATTTTCAAATGCTCTTTAAATGTTGCTTTGTTTTCATGATTTTCTTCTGAATTTCATATTTCTTCCTGTTGACCATGCTAACGAAGTATCGATAATCCATCTTTGGCTTGGGTCTTGATTGAATATAAATCTTACCCTCAGAGTTGGGAAGGCTCATTCCCAGTAAGTCAGGTTCCCTGCAAGAGTAAAGAAGCTACTGTAGACAGTGTAAGGCCACATTTGAGTAACAGCAGGGAGACAGCTGAGGATCAGGGCTGAGGCAACATTTGATACTTTTCTTTGGAGGCTGCTTAATAAGATGATTGCATGCTTGTAGTCAATGTGAGGTAATTACTACAGGAGTAGAAGTAGTTAAATAATGAGTTATACATTATATTAAAACAAGAATACAAATAAGTAATTATAACACCATCAATAAGGATTTTAACCAGCTGAAATTTAACCCAAACCAGGTTTTCCATAAGATTCCTAGGCTAGGTATGGGGTCACTTAAGAGAGGAATTTGGTTTTTTCATATGATTAATGAGACAGGTGATACTTGATGCCTTTTCTGTTACATAAACCCAGCATTGTATCTTAGTAATAGCACAAGTGCCCCTTTAAAAAGTGGTGATGACACTGAGTGCCATGTATTCTCATAGGCCTACTTTTCTTATTAAGGACATTTCAGTAGTGTACTTACCAAGTTCGGTGCTTGTGCTGAGTAAAATTAGCTAATGCTTACATGTGAGCAGTCATATCTTACGGCCCTAAAGTTGGGACAAATATAGAAAGTAAGCGGTGAGGGCTGGAGGTTTAGCTCAGTGGCATAAGCACCTGACTTGTAAGCAGGCAGTCATGAGTTCGATCCCTGGTACCGATAAAAAGGAAAAAGACAAAAAAAAAAATATTTTTTTGAAAAAAAAGAAAGTAAGCGGTGCACCGCTGAAATACTGATCGAATTCATCTGCCTTTTTAACAGTGCAAAACTATTGGTGCCCATGTAAGAGGAAGATTAAATACACTTTCGCAATGGGGGAAAGCCCACATGCAGTGTCCAGCTCAGCTGAAGGGAGCCAGGGCCAGTGACATGTTCCACAGAACCACTGATTCCATTAGCTGTTGCCAGTCAGTGCCAGGCTGTTAGCAATGAATCTGGGGCCAAGAGGCTCTGGAGTTTTTCATAGGGAACAGCACTTGGACAGACAATGCCCAAGGCGATCAGTATTATTTGGATGACCATTTTAGTGTGATTATACTGCTTCCAATAAAAGGAAGCCTCCAAGCTTAAATATACATAACTATGGGTAAGACATGTATATCTGCCCCATAACTGAGGCATAGTTCCTTTTATGAGACAGGTAGACAAGCATTTTTTTCTGCCCTTTTCAATGATGCACTTATGGTATCAACATACGAAAATATCAAAGTATGTCCAGAATGATCCAGAGTTTGATATATGAGTCAGTAATAACAAATGTCTTAGAAGGAGTATGAGTACGAGGAATTCAGGGTAAAAGATAATTGCATCACCAGAAGACTCAAGAGCTAAGCCACTTGGATTTGAGATCCATAATTTTAGTAGCTTTTCCTTTGATTTGTTTTTTAACAAGACTTTGAAACAATCGCTCAACTAAGATAGCCATTCTTCCATTCTGGTCAGAGAATGTTATGTGACACACAGTGTACTTGCATCTTCCTGAAGATTAGCTAAGAAACTAGAATTAAATAAGCTATTGGTTTTGTTTTGCAGGTATATATAAGTGACAGTAAGAATAGCAAGAAGTAACAACACCATCAGTAAGGATTTTAGGCAGCCAAAACCAAGCCATCTTTTGAATAATTTCCCTAGGCTAGGCATAGGCTACCCAGAGGCAGCTATGTATTTACCTCCCTTAGAGAAGCAATAGTGGGCTCATTATTCTATTTAATAACCTTAAAATGCCAATAAAAGTATGCTTCCCATTCAGGTTGTTTAGTTGTATACATTTCTTCTAATTTCAAAATATCAAAAGAGTCCCAAAAGGGCTGCCATAATTTCACACCATTTGAGTACTTTCAGTCGATCAAGGCAAGAATTTACAAGAAGGCTTACAGGTTTTAGCGATCAAAGAAGCCAGAGCTGTGCGTGGTGGCTGCCAACAGCATCCTTGAGGAAGCAGTATCCCTGAAACACTTAACCCAAGGTGAAAGTTACCTGTTGTAGAAACCGAGTGACGGGCCAGGGATACTGAGTGACGGGCCAGGGATTTAGCTCAGCTGCATAGTGCCTGCCTGGCAAGCACAAAGTCATGAGTTTGATTCTGGATACCCAAAAAAGAAAAGAAAAGAAACTGAGTGGCCACGGGATATAGAAATCTAGATAAGAGACTTTCTTCCTAAGAAGCTGGCAACAGAGGTCACCAAAGAAAGTTTCCAATCATTGACCAAAGAGAGGTGGGAAGTTTGGAGGCGGAGAAAATTCGCTCTCACAGTCTGAAGCCACCAAGGAATCAGTGGAGCGTATGAGTTGCAGAAGCACCTGTACTCATATCCTCAGAAGCATCAGAGGTAGAGATGAGTCACTTCCGATCCCACTTCTGACACCATCTAATGTCAGTTCAAACACAGGAACAGAAAGAGCTTCATTTAGGGCTCACGAACTGCAGTTTTTAAAAACACAAATTCAGATAGCCCTGAAAGAGTGCTTCAGAGAAGCTCAGAGGTTGCAGTGGTTTTTTGTTTTGTTTTGTTTTGTTTTTTGGGTTTTTTTGTAAAAAAGGAGAAGTAGTCAGAGAGAATTCCACAAGGTACATGCAAAGGAAAAAGGTGCAGAAAAGACATTCTAACTCAAGGCTGTGCATCACTAGGCCACAGAGGACTGATTTCTCAGGCTATCTCAAGGTGAAAGGTACATTTGTCATTTGTGACAAACAGTTGTGGCTGCGGCATTCATTAAAGATGTCAGTGGCTTTTGCAGTTGGCCCCCTTCAGACATTCACATTCCTGTGCCTAGTTCAAGATTTCATTTTTACAGCAGCATCTTGATAATGTACAAGTCCCTGTCCCCTAGTGACCTCCCTACTGCATTTCGAAGTGCTCTTAAAAGATTGCTTTTTACCATGATTTTTTTTTTTTTTTTTTTTTTTTTTTTTAGGATTTTACACAAGGTACAGAGGAAGTGGCATGCAGTTCCAATGCCCTTTACCATTGTGCCGCCTTCCAAGCCCATCAATGCATTTACTAATGTACAAGCTTCTCAAACCTGTTATCAGATGTCTTTATAAAGTCTCAGCTCAGCCTGTCACCTCCTTCCCAGAGGTCATTAGGCGGGGATAAGTTCCAGTTTTCTAATCACTTGGTCTTTTTAGTGACCAGCCCTATCCTAAGGCTAGGTAGGGCCCCCTCCAAGTTACCTCGATAGCATATACTCAGTTATGGTCAAAAAGAGCTTTCTCCAAAAGCAGAAGACACTCCAACCTCTCAGGAAATTCTGATAATTTTGGGAGCTCTGCCTAGAACCAGAGATAAACACTAGATACTTTTCTTGTTATACCACATTAGGATATTTCTCTTTGGTTGGGATAAATGGTTCAAAATGACTTCCCAAGCACTGCCTAAACAAAAGGTACATAAGTAGAAAATATATTCCACATTGAAAGCGGGGGAGCTAAGGCTCTGTGAGCCTTAGCATAAGATTATCAGATGTCATGGAAACCAAAATGCCCGCAGCGCTCCCATAATAGGTGGTGACAGCTTCTGTGGTACAAAGAATGTAACCCGAGAGTTACTTCAGGTTTTATTTAAAAAACAAAGCAAGACAGGTCACTAAACATCGTATTTAAGGAACTGAAAAGTATTTTGGGAGTGCCTGTCAACATAACTTATTTACTGCCATTCTTTAGGAAGAAACTTGATAGGAATAATTAGAAAATATATTTTTAACTTTGTATTATGCAGTATGCATCATCAAAATCCTATTCAATATTGTGGCAGTATCAAGTTCTTAAAGATGAACAGAAAAGTTTAAAAAAAAAAACAACTTGTTTCCTCCTTTGGACTCGCTATCCTTCCCTGTTTACCATGGCAGTGGTGATGAGGCTGGGAAGCCAGTGCTGAGGCCTCTGCTGTCAGGAAGGGGTCCAGACCCCCCATTAGGACGTGTAGCAGATCTGGCTTTGCCGAAACAGTCTTAATAGGTAAAAGGGCCAAGGCCACCCTAGGCAGCTCTGTATGCAGTCTAACAGTGAAGTCACTCCTGTTTTTCTTCTTAGAACCTCCTAATTCACTGGACCTCAATGACAGTCACCCTCGGAGAATCAAGCTCACAGCCCCAAATATCAATCTTTCTCTGGACCAAAGTGAAGGGTCCATTCTTTCTGACGATAACCTGGACAGCCCAGATGAAATTGACATCAACGTGGATGAGCTTGACACTCCCGACGAAGCGGATTCTTTTGAGTATACAGGCCACGGTAAGTCGCCAGGTTGACAAAGCCAAAGGCAAGTAAATAAATAAAAGATTATCTAAGTGGCGTTAGGAACAAATTCTTCATTTTTGTGTCAGTGGCTCCTATGTGTGATTTCTGGAAAGTTCTATGTATGTGTGTCGTGGTCACAGTTGGCCAAGGTCGACAGTTGATAGAGTGCGTCAGAGCAGGAGTGGTTCCCAGAAGTCACATCCATGGCTCTGTTGTAAAGCCCGTAGGATGCTGTCTGTGTTGTAAGGTAACTGGATCTGGGTTTGCAGAGAAAGAGAAATCAATCTGAAGGTAAAATTTGAAGAGGTGAAATCAGGGCTTCCTGATGTCGTAGTACAGGCTTCCACTGTCTGGACTGTTCATTCCACCAGAACCAGCCATGCCCGGCTCCTTCTCCGTAATCAGACCTTAATCAGATGTCACCTCCTGGACAGGCCACCTCCCTGCTTACCTTGACCCATCCACACTTTAGCCCGGTGTTCATTTTCTTCTCCATGTGCCATTCACTGAGATTGTATTATTTAGCTGGTTTGCATGTTTATCATCTCTTTTCCCACCAAGGTAGAGGTAATACTGTGTTTAATGCTGTATCTCCAAAGAGAAGGAGGAAAGAAAGGATGGAGTGGGTGGGGTGGAGGAAAGACTAAATGAAGAAAATAAAAAGACTAAGAGCTGGCATTCCTGATATGAATATCAGTTTCACTTTAGTTCTTTCCTGTGCTCAGTGAAGTTTGGTTTGTTAAAATTTATATGCAAATATAAAATATTTACTTGTAAAAATCTTGTGGCATTATGTGGTTTCCATTTCATGTCTAGCCAGGCAGCATTCTGAAGTTATATTCACAGGTTAAAAATGACAGAGTGTTAGCCACAACTGTTGTTTTTCTTAATTTTAAAACGTTTTCTAGTCTTAAACAGGATGTCACAATTCAGTGGAGTTATGATAATCCTAGGTACCCTACTCATACGGGACATAATTAAGATCTTCAATAAATTAGTATTCATCCAATGGTGATTAAGCCACCAGAACTAGAACCAAAGATCAGTACAAACTTAGATCCTGTCTTTACAGACTGAAAGCTTTATTTCCTTAAGTTAATAAAAAAAAAAAAAAAAAAAAGTAGAAGCAGTAAACTACTTGTTCTAAAGGTTGCTGTGTTTAGGAACTCTTTTTTTTTTTTTTTTTTTTAATACCAAGGATCGAACTTGTGACCTTCCACTTGCCAGACAGGTGTTCGTAGGGTTGCTATGTTTAAACAGAGAATTTATATTGCTTTTGTCATATTCCTAAATTTCTATACAGTGTCCCCTCTATATCTGTGACAGATTGATTTCAAGACCCCAAACAGGTACCAAAATTTAACCGTACTCAAACTCAACCATACTCACACTGTAGTATTTGCCTGGAACTTGCTTATATCTTCTTGTATACTTTAAATCATCTCTAGATTACTTACAATGTCTAATACAACACAAGTGCTATGTAGATCGTTGTTGTGTAGGGCATCATGATCCAGAAGAAAGTCATTGCATGTTCTGTACCCATGCAGTTTTTCCCCTGAATATTAGCTTATCTGCATTCAATATCAGTTGAATCTGCAGATGCGGAACCAAAGGATATGGAGGGCTGACTAGTTATCTGAATATTTGATCTGGGAGGTTGACATACACAAACATGAAGGAAAGAAGGTACTAAATTCATGTTGGTTCCCACCCTGCAATGTGTTCACCAGCTACTACAACTATGCCAGCTCTCCACAATGGCCCCAGCTCTTTTCCTGCTGGTATACTGACTTAAAATCCTACAGGGGACAGCTGTGGCGTGACACTGCTGGTCTGCCCTGTCCTCCCCCTTTACCTCCTTCTTGCAGTGGAGAGCTTTGTCACACCACATCTGAACCTTTTATTTTTATAAATAGTAAAACTGTTAAGCAAGGTGGTAATGGCTGGGCAAGCTGATAATTAAAGCTGCCACCTGCTCGTGTGGCTCTTTTTACTCAGTTGGCACAGTCGTGTCAAAAGAGCTAGTTTAATGGCCACAATCCTCCTTCCAGATCTTAAGCTCAAAAGACAGAATTTTAACATACAATGTATTCTGCACTTCTTAATTTTCCAACAAAAAGTGTATCACTTTGTAAAAATGTGCAGACCTGGACAACCGACTGCATAAAAAGAACAGAAGAGAAACACATAGTTCTGAGATGTGAAGTAAGTGCTTGCAAATGCATGTGGTGTTCACAATGTGCCAAAGAGATCGGAAATGTGTATGTGGTGAAGGACTTAGGATGTCAGGTTTTCATTTTAATAGCAAGCTTAGCGTTTTATTATACCAACCTTAAAAATTTAATATCCAGGGCTGGGGATTTAGCTCAGTGGCATAAGCGCCTGCCTGGCAAGTGTGAGTTGTGAGTTCAATCCCCAGTACCAAAAAAAAAAATTAATATCCAGAGGTCAAGGAACATAGATGAACTATTTCTATTTTCCAAACCAACCACAAAGTAATATCCAGAGGTCAAGGGACAAAGATGAACTATTTCTATTTTCCAAACCAACCACAAAGTAATTTTTGCTCTAATTTAGATCTCAACAAAAGCATTTCATATGGGAAATGGAAAAGTGATAAAAAAAATTTTTGCCTGCATATTTCTGATAAGAATGTTTTAGGAAACACTCATCTACTCTTATACTTCTCCTTTCTAGGCTTCCAAGTGATATTTAGTGACTTTATCTAACCTGTCTTTTCTAAAGCCAAGCCCTAATGATAGTTTTCTGGTTGAAAAGTCACCCTAACATTATTTCCAAGTAGCCAGGGCATCACTTCATTAATGTGTCTGTAATTTTCTATATTTGCAAAATATGTAGGCCACCACTTATAAAAATTAGTTCCTAGTTTTAAGTCTGCATGTAAACTAACCAGGCATGAAGTTTATTCTGCCTTACCCACAAGCAGCCTATGTCATAATAGTATTGTTTGAAAGGGTGATTTTTTTCCTTGCATTTTTGTATACTGAGATTATACATTGAAATTAATTTCCTGTCTGCTGTTTGTCATCAAGAACATTTTAAAGACTTCTTAATTATACTCTGAATGTATTACTCACTGTTCCTGACACAGTATCTGATACCTGTAATTTTAAAAATGGTTTCATTGGGCTCATGGTTTTGGAAGAGTCAGTCCATGGCAAGCTGATCTCAAGGCAGAAATATCATGGTGGAAGGGTGTGATGGAGCAGAGATGCTCGGTATATGGCAGCCTGAAACAGAGCAAAGGGCCAGGACCAGAAGAGAAGGGGCTAGGGCCCAGTTACTGTGTGATAACCAGCATTGCACTCCGTGACCCCAGTCACAGTCAGAAGTGTGCTTAATGGTTTGCGAGGCTTCTCTTTCCTGATTTCCTCCTCCCTCCCTTTCCCCCTCTTCCCTCCTTCCTCCCTTCCTTCCTTCTTTCCCTCCTCTTGGTACTCAAATCACATCCTAAGCTCACTCTACATTTCCTATTTTGAGATAGGACCCCACTAAGTTGCCTAGTCTGGGCTCCAGTCTGCAGTCTCCCACCTCAGTCTCCCAGAATTATACACAACTACATGTGACTTAGGTAGATATTTCTTAATCCGGTCAAGTTGAAATATCATGATTAATAGTCACACTGGACAGTTTGCTCATAACAAAACATCTGCAAACAATGTGTTTTAAGAGGATCCACTATCTTTATAAGAGCATAATATAAAGAAGCCTCATCACCTTTCACAAATGGAGGTACCTACTGGAAGCCACAGCTAACTTCATCTGTGGTTAGTCCATAATGAGCTGTTGTAATCCCAAATAGTTGGGTGCTAAATATTGTAACCCCAAATATGTATTGTGATCCAAGTATTATAACTCTTTTTAAAATCTTCCTCACTATCCAAAAAGATGTTCATAATCCTGTTGAGACATTACTGGAATCCGAGCAAATTAACTCCAATCTGCCACCTCCAGGGCAACCCATGGTGAGAGTAAAGACACCAAGACAGATTCAAACTTAAGGGAAGCCAAGGGGTCCTGCATCTACTCCCCATGAGGATGTGCAGACAAAGGACTTGATACAAGGCCTCCAGTGGCTCCAGGAGAGTGATGTGAGGATGGCAGGAATTGGGTAACTTGAGCTGGCTGGCCAGGTGGGGAGAAAAGCATCTCTGTAAAATGCAGAGATAAGGATGTGCAGAAGGATCAATTTGCATAATTCAATTAATGTAGCAACTGAATTGTTTTAGGAGGCTATTGCTTTAGTTTTTGATATGTAAACTTTTGTGCCCTGGGGTCTCATAGCCTTTTTGTCTCAAGGCTTATACCCAGTTAACATTCCTGGAGCTGACTGGCTCTACCATGCCACTGCGCTCTTTTATAGAGCACATGTGTTTTATAGAGAGCACGATGTGAGGAAACAGGAGACTGTCTGATGGCTTTAGAGATTATATACCTCAGCTAGCTTCATTTATAGTGCTTAGAGCCAATTAAAATAATACCATAGTCAGCTCTATACATATCAATGTAAAAAAATAAGTCTCAATATAATCAAAGACACAGCAGTTGTTCCACATTCCAGAGGAGTCACTGACATTGTCTCCTACATCAAACATCACAGACAGATTCCCAGTGGTTGTTTGGGTAGCACAGAACTTTTAAGAGCTTGTGCGCTAAATCAGCTCCAAAAGGCAAGAGGGAGAATTCATTTGACCTCTCCTCTGCAAGGGTTTCATTGTATTCCAAGTCCGGGGAGAAAGCCGCTATTTGAGAAAAGAAAACAACCATTTCTTAGGTAAAGAAAGGATGAGACTCAAAATTAAATTTGGAGCACCTAGGGACAGAGAGTTAAACAAGACCTGAATATTTTTGCAAACACAACATGGTGGGAGGAGACAGTAATTTATAGTTACAGCAGAAGACTCATTAAGCTCTGGAGAGCATTTCTGTCAGTGACACTGTCTTTACTTTTTACCAGCTTGTATTGTTGACTCCTAGAAGTGAACTCCTTGAGAGAACTTAGTATACCCCTAGCTCATCAAGATTTCTTTTCCCCTCTTTACAGCAATCAAAAGAGAAAGGGACGAGGGACCCTCAGCAACTTGCCAGCTCCCACGCATGAAACATTAGGCACAGCATCTTATGAGAACTCTCAGCCCCAAACTTTTATACCAAAATGAATAGTAATGCTGCATATATAGATATATATATATATGCATGCTTTTAAGATAGAGGTATCCTTTTGCATTATAATTTTAGAAGAAAGTCAGCAATATAAAATTTCAGAATTTTAGTTGGGCAAAAAATACATAGGAATCTATAAATTTAAAAGCTAAGCACACAGGAGAAAAATAATTGCAACTCATGACTAAGTTCTGTAATAAGAACTTCAGCAGATCAGTAAGGACCTCATATCCAAAATATTCAGCAGGTATTTCCACATTAGTAAGAGAATGTAAGTAGCCAGTAAACATTTAAATTCCTTTTTAATTAGAGAAATTCAAACTGAAACAACAGTGAGATTATTTCCATCTTTAGCTGTCAAAGAATAAAAGCTTTGATAACCTGGGCTTTTTAATAGGAGGAGACAGGCTGTCATTTGTATTTTGGTGTGATGTATTCAAGGACAAAAATGCCCACTTTGACCACAGATCCAGTTTTCCCTTGCTAAAATGTTGCCCTGAAATATTATGTGCTTTTCTAGATAGGAAGTTCATTGTAGACCAGGGCATGTATATACATCAGCATCAGAAAACAGACAGTAGAGACTGGTGGGAAATAGCATCCCCAAAAAGGCGCTTGAAGTCCCTAACACAAGCAGATAGGAACTCTGGGCAGATGGCAGATTTGCCCACGTGGAACAGTATCCAATTAGAAGCTGAAAGTTGTTGCATTGTGTCCTTAATAAGCTGCTGATTTGGGAATGTGGTGGAAGGAACCACACAGGCTCTTTCCTTTTTGGATGTGCTGGAGTAAATTTCTTATCAAAGACTGCTTGGCGAGGTGGTGGTGGTGGTTGTTGCCTTACGCTTCCACAAACTTAGGAGTCTTGTGAACTCGAGGCCTTGGACTGTTTCTGGTCTATAAACATCTTGTTTCTCGCATACTACAGCATTTGAAATAAAACGCATGGGAAGTATCAAATGTATGTCAGAAGTGCCCCCGGGAAGTCAGGGGTCCACCCTTGTTAATAGAGCAGGGAACCTGACCTAAGGTGTCCTGTCATCAAGACCCCAAGCTTTGAGCATGCTGAGTCATCAAGGAAGCCAGCGTGTTCTGGGCCTGATGAGTGAATAACCTACAGGATTAAGGGTGGGTTGGCACCAGTTCATCCTGCACTGGGCCACTGAGGATACGGACCTTCCGCTCTATGCCTAGCTGCCCCGCCCTCTCTTGGAATGGCCCTAGTGTGAGTTTGGTTATTCAGTCCGTCAGTCAATGTGGAAAACCAGACTAGACTTCCTGTGATAAGGGTAGTGTGAAGCTCCTGTGAAGTATGTCCCAGGGAGTTTGGTCCTGGCGGCTCTACCAGGAAGGGCCTTCTGAGTTGGCCACTTGGTGCCCTCTATTGTAAAGCCAGTCTTCCTTCAGCCCTGCTCTCTTTCATTTCCAGAAGATTCTGTGGTCAACAAAGACTCTGGCCAAGAGTCAGAGTCTATTCCAGAATACACGGCTGAAGAAGAGCGTGAAGACAACCGGCTGTGGAGGACGGTGGTGATTGGGGAGCAGGAGCAGCGGATTGACATGAAGGTCATCGAGCCCTACCGGAGAGTCATTTCCCATGGAGGTAGCCCAGCCCTGAGAACGGGGCAGTGGCAGGGGCGCAGTTTGCAATTGGAAGACAGGGGTGTCGTATCCCAAAGACCCTGCTCTATAGTCTGTGTTCAGGGGACTTGAAGCCAAGGCCATTACCTTATACTCTCTGTTCATTAAAAATCAGAAAGGCTGCCAGGCCAAAGCAATGTCCAGTGTGGGGTTGGGGCAGCTTTTAACAGCTCTTACCTGATACCTGTTAAGATTTTGGCTGTCCACTGTGGTGGATCTGTCCAGAATTTCTGTGGGGTGTGGGGTTGACGAACAGTTCAGAGTGCGTAATGCCGTGGCCTCTAGTAAAGCCACTGTGTCAGAGGGGCTTCTCACCACAAAACATCTTTGAAGTCTTCCTTAGAAGCTTTATTAACTATTACTAACTTTTCCCTTCCGAAAGTTTACCTTTTTTTGCCGGGGTTGCCTTTTAAGGCAGAGTTTCACTGTGTGGTTCAGGCTGGCCTTGAACTTACAGAGACCCTCCTGCCTCAGCCTCCAGAATGCGGGATAAAATTTTCATTTCTGTAAACTACCTGGTATCTTCACCTGATAACAACAGGTCCCAGTCAAAGTCTCCACCCGCCTGGGGAGGGGCCAGGGAAAGGGGAAAGTGTATTTTGTATTTCCAGTGCTTTCTGGGGCTCTCCAGCACCATGTGTGGCCTTGACCGATTTCGGACTCACAGGAAGTGAGAGGAGCACTAGCAACACGTTTAACGTTGTGGACTTCAGAAAGCATCAGCAGCTTTTTTATTCTTCTCCCGCATGTGTCCCTTTCCTGCCGTCCTCCAGCACCACTCTTACCTCCCAGCTGTCCCAGAAAAGGTGCACGCTGACAAGGCGGTTGCTGCTGCCCACGTTCTGTCCTCCCGAACTTGGACAGGGAAGTGAGAGTCTTGGCACGGCATTAAGTCTGCGATACTTGTTTCCTAAGGAGCACCGGGCATTTTGCTGTTCCCATCAAGCACCCTCCGCCAGCCCAGCGGGTCCTTCACTTTCTAGCCCTTGCATTGCTCTTCCATGAGGGGTGGGTGGCCCTAGCAGACAGCCCAAGCGCCACAATGAAGGAAGGTGCCGCTGCAACTCCCGCAACTCTGGTCCTGACCTTGCTTCTTCTGAAATAGCAACCTGACCCCATGTAGCTGCACTCACAGGCACCGTTCCCCCAAGAGAGACCTCTCCCACAGCCCTTAGGCACAAAGGTGGCCTGAGCCTGCTGACCCATGAGTCACACATTTGTTGTTTGGGTAAAAACCACACTTGCGACACTCCCCAGACCTTCCTGGGGGTTACCGCTTCCTTGCACCAGCGACTTTTGGCTTGTTTGCTTTGCAGAAATCAAAACAAAATGAAGGCTGACTATGACAGTACCCTGTTCTTAGTTTTAAAAGTATAGAAAAGGGAGGAGTTTGTTAACAGAAATCAAAGTCACCCAGCGATAACCTCCATAACACATTTTTGTGTCTCAGGTCTGAAGAGTTGTCATGGTCTAAGGGAGGCAGGTGCAGAGCCCCACTGCTGCAATAAGGGCAGGTCATCTCAGGACGTCAGTGGGCTCACCTGCTTGATTTTAAACTGCCATGTTTTGGAATCCAGATGGGATGGGATGGCGGGTGAATCGCTTCGCCCTGGTATGCAGACCTTTGGTCCACAGAAGGGCAACAGAAACCACCACCTCTGCCCATGCTGGTCTTCGCAGAAATCTGCCTGAAAACCATGCTCACATGGTTTGCTGAGCTCTCTATCCCCACCACCTCCCATCGTATTTGCTGTCCTTGGTATGTGCTCTTCCATTGTGTGTCGCGAGCTTGGTTCTTTGTCTGTGTGACTGTCTGGTTTGTTCTAAAGAGGCCTTCTACTCGCTCTCGGCTCCCCTCCACCTTCTCCGGGCACTGGGCTGCATGAATGCGCCTCTGGCTGCACCTGCCTCGCACATTAGCGAGATGCCACCTCCCTCTTGCTCTTGCTACGTGCTGAACTGTTTCTGTGCTCTGTAGGTAAAGACCATTGGGATGTTACTTCTGAATTGGCCAAAGCTTTGTCTTCCTCACTGGAAGCATACAGCACTCTTAGATCTTACGATGACAGAGTCCTAGTTAGTAGCCTGTCGATCGGGCCACCCTGGCTTCTGATGAGCATTGAGAGAGCAGACTCCAGGAGGGTATTTCAGCCCCAGGGTGGGCGGGGCCAGCTGTCATCCACAAGTGGGAGTGATCAGAAGAGTTGGAGAAAGTGGTCCCAAAGCCAGGCACTGTCAGCTGTTCGCACTGTGTTTAAACAAACAGGCTAAAGTCTCCCATTTGGTGTGAGCTGTCACCAGAGGCCCTGTCCACCCCGTGGAAGAAGGAAGTCAAGGCCTGTCTTTGTCTTTGTCCCATACAAGTCTGCACTAGTCCTTCATTTACCTCCTTGGGGCCTCAGTGACTTCATCAACCAAGTGGGAGTGCTTGATCACACCGGTGTTTGTGTCCCACATTCCTAGAAGCTATGTCCCTGCCATCCGCTTAACTAAAACACCAAAGCATTAGGGTGGTTTGCCCAGCCAGTGGTATGGGGTCCCATGGGGGCCAGAACCGGCTTTTTTGAACTTAAAATGTCTAAATAACCAAGGATAATCACGCTGAAGACTGTTAACAAAGAGTTTCCCTTCTTTTTCTTTCTTTCTTTTTACTTCTCTTGTTTCGCTCTAGGAGATTCAGGTAACCTTCCCTGCAGTGTCACTGGATAGATCTCCTGGAAAGAATGCACGGAAGAGCTGCTGGCTGGTGTGTGTGTGTGTCTATGTTTTGGTTGCGACTGTGACATCTTTCCTCCTGTCTCCATCCCATTTGCTGGCCGGCAAACTTGTGTTCCATCCCTTTCATGCCTCTCTGTGCCAGCTCAGGTAAGGTTTGCCGCTGCTGTGCCCTTCGAGGGTCCCAGGAGGCTCCACAGCAGGTTTGCACGAGTGTCCGGCGCAGGACCTTGTGTTACTGACAGGTTAACAAAAGTCATGGCCTAAAAGCCAAGCTGCATGTGAATGATGCTGCTGCCAGCAGGCAGCTCACCCTGAATCAGCTGTGTATTTTAGGATGGAAAATGAAGGCTTAGCTCACCGAGAGAGCATGGGATCGGGTTGGGGCCGGGGTAGGGACGGGAAGCATACAGTCCCGCTCATTCTAGGTGCCGCATTTGCCAGGAGTGAACATCTGAAGCATCTCTGAAGCCTCTAACAACTGCTCTTGATGTAGGGGAGCACTTCCATGTGGGAATCTTGTATTTCTATTTCCTGTTTTAACCATCTCATCTCTTTCTATTTTCTTCTTTTCCCCTTTGCCTCTTCTCCCTTTTACAGAAGCTCTACTCAAAAAGTACAGAACCATTTTTATTTCTAAATTCTAGCCATTTTGATGTAAAGAGACATTCCTAGGTTCAGATTAGTGGCCCTTCTGTGTTTCTTTTGTGAATGAACTGCAATGAGCAGGGTGCTGCTGCATTCTAAGCACCAGTAGCACAGAGAACTGCGTTTGAAGGGGACTTCTGCAGTATTGTTTAGGAACCTATTTCCCCGTTTAAAAAAAAAAAAAAAAAAAAAAGGCTGTTAGAAATTCTCTGGAAATAGAACTCAAAGTACTGAGCAGTCGTGAACCTGAAATAGATCTGACACCTTGGAGCCAAGCAGCTGCATTTAGAAAGAAGTATTGTTCCTTGTTTTTAAGGGTGATATGTTATGCCATTGTGTATTTGCATGGCTGCTCAGCTTTGCAATGCGCGGAGTCTGAGTCATGTCTGCTTCCGGTGTCAGCTGAGCCACCGTATCATTCATGGATTTCCACTTAGGAGTCCTCAGAAATGACATTTTCTGGTGGAACAAAGACTTCTTAAATTCAAATATATCTCCTATATATCCATTCTAAAAAGATGATTGATGATTACCTACATATTGGGAAACGTAGACTATGGAATTAAATTTTAAAAATCCAGAAGGAAGCTACTATAATGCCCTCTCACAAACAGGTATTGGATTGGGTATATATTTACCTAAGTAGCATTTTCGAGGATAAGTGCTATGAATACAGTACACAACACCTTCAAATTAGTAATACATCCCACAGCTGGACTATTTTCAGTTACCTCAGTCTTCCCCAGCTTGTTTGTGGTAGAGTCATAGTCTCTGTTTTTGTAGAGAGCATCTTATTAAGCTGCTTTTCAAGAGATGATCCCATCCAAATCTATACCCAGCCAGTGTTTTTTTTCTGCCGTGTGATCACAAGAGGGCTATTTAGGGTTAGAAGGATAGGAAGCGCGCCAGCTCTAGGAGGACTGGAGCAAGCGTGAACACACATGCCGTTCTCCATCTCAGAACAGTGAGGGGTCGGTACTTGATGCTAAGGGCTGGAATTATGTGACGCAAGCCAAACATTTAAGTGGGAATATTAAAAAAGATAGGGGCTGATGGATTTGCTTAGTGGTAAAGCATGTGCTCAGCATGGGTGAGGCCCTGGGCTATCACCAAGACCCTCCCCAGAGATGGCATTGTTTCCTTTTTTTCTTTAATACTTTTTTTTAAAATTTTCTTTAATACTTTTTTTTAATTTTATTTATTTATTTATTTATTTATTTATTTATTGTCTTTTTCGTTTTTATCAGTACCAGGGTTCGAACTCACGACTGCCTGCTTGCAAGGCAGGTGCTTATGCCGCTGAGCTAAATCCCCAGCCCCATTGTTTCCTTTTTGAAACATCAGAGACGCATTTCATTCCAGCAGGCCTATCTTTGACAAATATCTGCTATGAATTTCAGAGATGAGCTCTAAGGGCACATGAAGCTTGTTTAAAAGATTGGGCAGTGCCAAAATGTGTCAGAGGGTTATACTGGTTTTACATAATTTCTCATTTGAAGCCAGCATGGTGGCACACTCCTGTAATCCCAGCACTCAGGAGGCTGAGGCAGGAGGATGGTTGCAAGTTCAAGACTACCCTGGACTACAAAGTGAGCCCAAGGCCAACTTGAACTGCATAGTGAGACCCTGTCTCAAAAAGACAAAAAAAAAATGTTTTTTCTCATCTGTCCTCAAAAGGTGAAAACAATGTCTTGAGATATATCTGCACGTTTCTTGACCCTCTGAGTTTTAACGTCTACACTTACTTATTTACACTGCTCAGACCTTACTTTCTCAGCATTACCTATAAATACTACTTCTGCCCCAGACACTAGCAAATAATTCTCCAGTTTTTCCCAAAGCACGTATTTCCACACAATTCAAAGAGATGTTAACCAGGCCTGTCTTGAGTGCCCCCTCTTCTTTAAGAGCCTGTGTAGTTATCATTGCCCTGATCAGAACTTTCCGTGGCTCTGTGTACAGCCTGTAGGGTCCAGAGATCCCAAGGACACTACCGGAGGGTGAACGATCCTTAGAGTCAGAAGGAAGCTACTTCACCCATCCGTTCCCTGGTGTCTGGTCACTGGCCTGTGGGATCTGAATGGCATTGTAGGTTAGTGACTAAATTCACCGTTCAAATTACCTGGGGTCTAAAACCAAAAGGAGCTACAGAGGACTGAAATCTTTCAAGCTCCCAGCAAGAGCTATTATAGAAGTTAGCTTTTAAAATAATTTGATGCTGTATAAATTAGAAACTCGTAAGTCAAAAAATGTTGCCTAGGATTGGCGACAGTGCTTTGTAATGGAATGTTTGCCTGGCACGCACAAGACCCCAGGTTCAATTCCCAGCACCATGAAAACAAAAGAAGATTAAAATAAAATAAAAATTTGTTGCCTTCTTTATTAAGTTGAATAATTTATTTATACATGCCATTCTTAACTGTGGATAGCACATAAAATCATCCATAATAAATGTATATGCTATAAACACAACTATACTCTCACTACATATTTAAGGCACAATATAACATGTCAAGCACCAGGAGAATTGTATGTGTAATACTTAAGAGAATTGTAGCTAATGTTGATTCCATTATCTGTGGCACGCGTGCACATACACATACACACTCCACACCAGTGCTTCCAGTTTATTCCTCAGACTCGGTATTATCTTGCGCATAACTTTCACTCTTTTACAAATGTCTTTTTGTTTGTCCCCAGGATACTATGGGGACGGTCTAAATGCCATCATTGTGTTTGCTGCTTGTTTTCTGCCAGACAGCAGTCGGGCGGATTACCACTATGTCATGGAAAATCTGTTCCTGTGAGTGCTCCCTCTGACAAAGTGCCTTGGATCAATGTCTGTTGCTGTGCAGTGGCAGAGAAAGGATCTTAATTAAGGGATGTGGATAATGTAGGCTATTCAAAGCCTTTGATAAAAAGTCTGCAGGATTTCTGTCAAGGAACAATGTTCAAAAGGCTAAGAGCTCCAGAGGAACTCTTGTCAGTAGAATACATGAAAAACAAAATGAGCAGAATTTGTTTTGCATGTAAGGATTTTATAAAATTTCCTCTGGGCAAAGTATTATTTTTTTCCCCTGATAACCTATTGTTAGTCTACTACTGATAATTTGGCTTTGTTCATATCTTCCCCTTATGAGTTGCCCTCAATGTTTGGTAACATTTTTAATATTTTTGAAAGTCAGGTTTTTAACTCATGTATTTTCCTGGGGTACTTGCATTAAAAGAAAAAAAAGATAACCCTACAAATAAATAAACAATACACAATATTAGGTAAATTAACTTCTGTAACTGTTGTGTTCGCAAGGTAAAGAGGTAATATGTACAGCCAGCCTTTGCGTGTCCTCCCTCTATAATGTACCTGTTATGTAACTGGTGTTCATGGGCTGAATAGAACTGAGAGCACCCCTCTTCTTCCCATGATCAGCTACGTCATAAGCACATTAGAGCTGATGGTAGCCGAGGACTACATGGTCGTCTACTTGAATGGTGCAACCCCGAGGCGGAAGATGCCAGGACTGGGCTGGATGAAGAAGTGCTACCAGATGATTGACAGGCGGTATGTGGGTCCCTCCTGTGCCCGCGAGGTCCCCTCTCTCCTTTCTCTGTTAGTCTACCAAAAATGTGATCCATTTAGGAACACTGAGCTCTGCATATATGAAGAAAAAGATTTCAGAAATATTAATCAGAGTGTTCCTCAAGGTTACCACGTTGAAAGAAAATGCGTCCTCTCGAGCTTTTATGGCATGTGTCAGCCCTGGCACTTTTCTGCCACGTACAGGAAAAGTGGCATAGTAAACATAAAGATTCATGATAGTGGGCATGTACTGCCTCCTTGGATGGGGCCCTTGCCTAACATGAGAATGCCCTGTTGTATTTAACTAAAATCTGCTTTATGATTCAAACACTAGTAATTAACATGGCTAATGCTGAAAAATGTGCCTAGAAATCAGGAATTGTTGGAATGATAAATTTTCTTTTATAGAAGAAGAACTGAGGCTTAATAAAATCAAATAAATTGTCTGCATTGCCATAAAGAGTGTTTTTCTACAAAATAGTAAAGATAATGTTGAGAAAAATGGAAAGCATCATTGAAAATAATGCCATCATGACTAAATTTATGCACTCCAAGAATACCACCATTCTATTTTACATTTTTTAGGAAATTGAGATGTGAACATACGGGTTTCAAATCGTATCTCTAATAGCATTTTTAAAAATTAATCATGACCTCTCTTATGCCTTTCCATAAGATAGTAGTAATTTTCCTAAAACTCCTAAAATTACTCATATTTTTTTAATGAAGAGAAAAGATGAAAATATATTTTATTCTTTCAAAGGAGTCATAGCATAGTATTCATTATGTGAATTTACTTTAATTCCTACTGAAAATGCGATGAGTAATTTATTTTTCTTCCTTTGTTCAAAATAGGTTGCGCAAGAATTTGAAATCATTCATTATTGTTCATCCATCCTGGTTCATCAGAACGATCCTTGCTGTGACACGCCCTTTTATAAGGTATAGTTGCTAGTACAGTAAAAGTATTACTAGTACTTTTTTAAAAGTATGTGAATTATTCTATAAACAGGAACACATAAGCGAAGAGTGTCTAGGGAAATTTATATAGCCCCTATCTTTCCTGAAAACATACTTTGACTTATCCATGAAACATTAAAAGTGAGAATTCAGAGTGAAAGTGATGAATGGTCATTATTTCATGTGAATGAGTGCCCTGGTCACTGTGAAACATCAACACCATGTTCCTTCCGTAGAAATGAGGAAGTAGGGTTTCCAAACCACGTTAGAACTGGGCACAGGCAATGCTTTATAAATGATATGTTATTTCGTAGGGAATAAGAAAGTACAGTGATATGGCTGAGCAAAGACTAGCCAGGGACAGTTCATGACTCCATCTCTTCTGAACTAATATCATGTGGGTCACCAGAACCCAACAGGGTGGGTAGCCATCTTGAGAACATAAAGAGTCTGGACTGCAAGTCAGGACCTATTTTTTTTTCATCACTTTTTTTCAGCTAAGTATTGTGTAACCTTATATCTGGGGAATGCAAAGAAGCATAAAATGTGGCTTATAGTAAGACTTGAAACATTTATATGAAAGGCATAGTATTTATTTTCTAGTTAGCGTTAAAATAAAGCTTTACCTTCCAACAACATAGATTAAATACTTTGAAATGTCCTCTTCAAAGGTATCAATAAATTTCTAAGGAAAGTTCTGGTAACTTCTAAAGAACAGAAACAAATGTTAAAAAATCTTATGTGGATTTTACTGTAGTGTGCAGAGTCTGCCTTTTCTGATCAGTATTTATGTATTTCACTTTATTTTTGTGGTACTAGGAATTGAACCCAGGGCCTTCACACTGAGCTATACCCCAGGGCTTTTTTAAAGCAGCACCGCAGCAATGGTCTTATTGGTAAATCACGCTAACACTGACTTACATCCAGCTGGTGATTGTGTGTGTTGTCTCATTTAGCCCTAGCTAACTCCCCTGAAACAGATGCCATTCATGTCTTCCACTGTGTAGGAAAATACCCTGAGAGTTAGGGAGCTCATGTAAGTAGCCTAAAGCAGAAGCCAGCAGTGTCCTCCGTAAAGGATCAGGTAGTAAATAATCTAGGCTTAGCTGTGAGAAGGCCTCACACATACCCATGCTCTGCTCCACAGACACCGTGTAAAGAAGGAAGGACTGATTATGACAGCACTGGACTTCTGGACACTGAAATTTAATACTGTTTGCATGTCATTTTTTACTTCGTGGCAGTTCTGGGTATTGAGCCCAGGACCTTTGAGCTACATCTCCAGAATTTTTTTTAAGTTCTGAATTGGGGTTTCACTAAATCATTAAGTTTTCCAACTGGGCTTAAATTTGTGATATTCCTGCCTCAGCCTCCCACAGTGCTTCAATCTTTTTTTCAATCATTTAAAAACCATAGAAACTATTTTAAACCCCACAGCTGTGCAAAAATGCTGGCAGGGAGCCAGTTTTCACCTGTGGGCTGTGGTTTGCCAGCACAGGTCCACAGTAACCAAGCCAGGAAATGATGGAATCCATGGTGTGCTCATTCTGCAGAACAAGCATGGAAAGCACTGGACTGTTGTGTTCTGTGGTGTCACCATGTCAGCATCCATTAAAGAGCCTTTTGATTTAGTTTAGACCAGTGTTACCAGTTTTGACCTGAGAAAAGGCCCCTAAGAGGAGCTTCTCATAGGTCTTTTCTCGGCTCATGGGGACAACTGTGACGGAGGCGTGTGGCAGGGTTTTCAGGCAAATCCCTGGTGTGTAGTAAAAGCTCAGACACTAGAGCTTGGAAAACAGCACGGCTCAGGTGGCGTGCTCCCTGAGGGGCCCCAAGGCCCCAGGGAACACAGCAGATGATAAACAGAGGGCTAGCTCAAGGTTAGGGTGAGTCTGGGGCAATGTGCAGGCGGTAAAGGCTCAGAGCCTGTCAGGAGAGGCTTTCCCTGGGAGTTAACCCACAAGGCGCCTTCCGAAAGACAGGTAGGGTTGGCAAGCTGCGATTAGGGCAAAGAGCAGTTCTGGTACACCAAGCAGGCAGCAAGAGGGAAGGCAAATCCGGGAGGAGAGCACAGGCCCAGACAACTGTCAGTTCCGGGAAGAGACCACCACAGCTGGAGGATTCCCCCTGCACTCCGTCTTCCAGCAGAGCCCGAGCTGACCTCAGCACCTGCAAAGTGGGGAAGACACGGAGTATAGCTGCTAGTGTGTGTTGATGCAAGACTTCCCAAAGGGGTAGACGGGACACTGCAGACAGCAAGTTGGCCGCAGGTCAGTCGGTGGCTCAGTCAGAGCTGCAGGTAAAGCAGTAGAGAGGTGCAGAAAAAGCCTTCTTTCTGGAACGCCCAGCAGTTGAAGGATCACAAGGCAGTCAAGCTGGCAGAGAGCACAATCTCAGCAGCCCAGGAAGGCAGATTTGTTTTTGAAAGCACTTAAATATTATATCCTTGAACAAATTCCCTTTCAATTAGAATACTGTATTTTTTAAAAATTCTTAATTATCCATATAATAGCAAAAAACCAAGAATGGTACAGTGTTGGGCAAATTTCTTTTCAACTGAAATTATGCATTTTAAAAATGTATAATTACCCACATAACAAGACAGCACATTCATCAGAAATGCATCTCATCATTATAGTTAGGGCCAGATTCTCTTACCAGTTTCATCACTAGCCTGTCAACTTGTTTCCTGTGCATTTATGTCCAACCAGAATGACCCTATTTAGATAAAAACTATGATTCAAATTCAACTATGGGGACATATTCTTAAAGGGCAGCCTATCTAAAATGAACATTAAACCTTTGGGGAGGAAAAACATCAAATTATTTTTAAATAAAAAATTAAGAGGAAATTGAGTTCACATGTATTTTTAAATATTATCAACTCAGCCTGATTCTGGAAGAACTCATGGTATAATTTTTGTTAAATAAGTGAAAACCCAAAGAAATCGTAATCCAGTGACTCCACAGCAGGCATTCAGGAGTGTCAGACCACCATGAGGCTGTATCCCTATGAACAGTGAGAACCTTGGGCTCCTTACCCTTAAGGGGAAAGCACCATTCACTGTTTACTAGATTGTAATACAAAATGGATGAGTTAATATACATAAGTCACTTAACATCATCTGAATACCACATCATTTCATTCCCACAGTCAGCCCTCTGTATCCACAGTGTCTGCATCCACAGAGTCAACTGACCACAAATGGAAAGTATTGAACAAACAAAACAAAAAGTACACACAGACTTTCAGACTTTTTTCTTATCCTTACTTCCTAAACAATACAGTTACCACCTAGAATTTGTATTGCATGAGGTGTTATAAGCATTCTATCAGGTATTATAATGGAGACAATTCAAAATATATCAGAAGATGTGCTTAGGTTCTGTGCAAATGCTGCATATTTGATGTGAGAGATCTGAGTACACCTGAATTTGGGCACTCATGGACATTCATAGAACAGCTTTGTATGATCAGTAGGAATGGCCCTATGTGGGACCGGAAAGCATTGAACTCAGAAGTAGAGAAATTAGTAGTCACTGGGGCCAGTGTGGGTGAAATTGCACAGGATACAAGATTTCAGGGAGAAGAACAAATTCAAGAGAGCCACTTACACATGGTGGCTCCAATTACTAACAGTGCACTATATTCTTAAAGGTTCTGCTAAGGGAGTAGAGTTTAAGTGTCCTCACCCCGACTCCCCATACACACAATGCTAAGTATGTGAGGAATACGCAGATTAACTAGTTCAACTTAGTTTTCCACAGTTCGTACAAATTTCAGAACGTGATCTTGTTTGCAATACATGTGACCAATTTTTATTTGTCAACTTATAAACAAAACAGTGTCTGGCACATAGTGACTACTCAAATAGCTTGAACCTTTCTTCTTAGAGTGCTGGCATGAAGTATTAAATGTATCAAGCTCATAGGCGAGGGCACAGCTCAGTGATAGAGCCCATGCTTGGCATGTATAAGGCCCTGGCTTATGCTCTGCCACCAAAATAGCAAAACAAACAAAGAAGATTTTCAAAAAGATATGACGTTAAAATGGAGAAGCAGTAACCAATGATTTTTTTTCCTTTTCTCTTAGTTCAAAATTCAGCAGTAAAATTAAATATGTCAGTACCCTATCAGAACTCAGTGGGCTGATCCCGATGGATTGCGTCCATATTCCAGAGAGCATCATCAAGTAAGTTCGGTAATTTGGGAAGATTTGGTAGGAAACAGTATCTATATGTAAAGGGCTGGGGGTGGGGGAGGTTGGCAGAAAAACTCACTTCTGTAAGTAGTGAGAAAGTGACATTTCATTTTTAAAATAAATATTAAACACAGTGGTATCCAATAAACATAGTTCTTTCCCTGTAACCATTACATTAGTGTTCTTTCTTTTTCACATAATAATGTTTTGGGTGTCATTTGGTACCACTCATTTTTACCTTGAATTTCGGATCTGATTTGGAGAACCAGTGTATTTGTTATTTGTGACCCTCTTCTGTCTCCTCAGGTAGGATAGGATCTTAGCATAAGTGGATCCCTTTATTACCTGCATATCCCCAGGAAAATAGAAACAAAATGTGTTTTCTTCTCAGTCTTTTTTTTTTTTTTTTTTCCTCTCTCTCCAACAATTTTCTTTAGGGAATTTGCCCAGTGGTGGGCGGAGGATGAAGAATTGTTTTCTTGCTCAGTTCAGGATAATGGGGCAGCTCACAAGTAGTATGGGTAATAAAGGTCCCCAAAATAAGAATAAGAGTTAATTAAATAAATATTTGGAGCTGGGATGTTGAAACAGGGAAACTGGAGAATAAACATTTCTGTCTTGTACACTGTTGAAAAGAACTATGTTTTTTTCTCCTACTGTATCTAATTCAACAGTTCTGGTTTTTTGTTTTTGTTTGTTCTCTTTTAAATTTGATTAAAGTCGAAAGGCACAGAACTATCAGCTCGAAAAAAAAGGACAAGTGTTGAAAATTTTCCACCATGTCCAGTTTGAGCTTCCAAAGAGTCCTGTTACTCTGAAAGAATAAGAGGAAAGAAAAAGGCACAGAAATGAGCAGGAAGATTTTCTTTAGTGAGTGTGACTGATGTTACATGGGCCAAGCAGAAGGAGTCTTTTATGTCATTTATCCAACACACAGAGTAACGTCCACTTCATAAATGCAGGGAAGATGACTTAATAAGCAGTGACTTATGGAGAGAATAGACACCAGGGAGGTGTGACATTAGAATTCAAAGCCCAGTCAGCCTCACACAAAAATCCCATGCCCTTTTCAAGTGGATTCATTATCTCCTTCAAAATGGGCTTGTAAACTCAAAGCTCACAGCAGGTGCATTGGTTTTCCTTCAATGCAAAACAGACCTGTCCATAGGATACTGATGGTCACAGGGATCAGCTGGGTCAGCTGAATCAAGCGGAGTGTTCGTAAGGTCCTAGCAGTGGCTTCAATCCTCATTGATGTTACAGAGTTCCCACAAACAGCATACCTCAGAGTTCAGGCTGCTGCTCTACCCTTCTGGGAAATGGGAGTGAGGCAGACACGTACGTGTAACCCCAGTACTCTGGAAGGCTGAGGCCAGAGGATCACAAGTTTGACCTCAACCTGGGCAACTGAGGGCATGACCTAAGGTCTCCATTATCAAATTAAAAAGGAGTGGGGATGTAGCTCAGTGCAAAGGTCCCAGTAGCACTAGAACCAGAAAGAGCTGGTCACCCACTTATCTTCTTTAACACTTGGCAAAAATAACAAGGAGGGCACTGTATCAGGAGCTAGCATTGACCTCTCTCCAAATGCATATGGCAATGTTTCCCTGCGTGGTCCTGACAGTAGGGTGAGAGAAGGGGCTTTGGGGGGAATTAGACAGGGACCTACCCCCCTCCTTCAGTTTCTGAAACTTGGATCTGGTTAGTCAGCGAGGTACTAGCAGTGAACCCAGGGCCTTCTCACAGAGCTAAGTCCCCAGGCTTTGTTTTTGTTGCATTGGGGTGGGGGGTAGTGTTTCCCTAAATTACTCAGACTGGCCTTAAAGTTTCCATTGCCTGTCTCAGGCTCCCACAGTCCTGGGATTGCAGGCCTGACCACCACATCAGGCCAAGCAACTATTCAGTCTCTGAGTCTCAGCATGTGTCATGTGTGAAATGCGGAAGTAATCTGCATTCCTTAGACAGCTGTGAGCACTGTGTGCCTGAGCCACTTGGCAGCCTTGGCACAGAGCCTGCAGTCTACCAGTTATCTGTTGTGATCCCAGTTGCTTTTGGAGACTCCCTGTGAGAGAGGGAGTTAGACTGGCCAGGGCACTTTTCATGCATCTCCACACTCAAGTGCTTAAGGCCACATTCAGAGGAAGGCTTCCCTTTGGAAAGATTTTCTTCTAGAGGGGGAGCTTTCACATCGTGAATGTCCAACATGTCTGTGCTGTCTTCAGTCCTCTAATCCAGCTCCTTGAATTTTCTGTCGTTTCTATCACTGGTTCCTGTTGTTTCATTTGCACATGAAGCAGTTTTCAAATCAATACAAGCCATTCAAAAGATCTGATCTCAGTCACCTCCAAGAGCTGGGATGCCACCTGCCAAGAAAGGACTTAAATGAAAGAAGAATTTGCCCAAGTTGGATCTGATTTACAATTATAGATTAGAGTTGATCCTTAATATCTGTGGCAGTTATATTCAATATAAGCTCTGGAAATACTCAACTAGTGAATACTGAACTATCATTCTAAGAGAAAATAGGGTTAGGTTCTAGGCACCTTTTTATTACTCACCAGTGTATAAATTGCTTTATGCATGTTTCTGTTTGAAGTCTCCCACTGTTCATTTTGTAACACACCCATATATCCTAAGAAGCTAGGCATATCACAGCCTTCTTGTGCTTCAGGGTACCAGCCAGTCTATAAGCACTATGTTTGGGTGTGTCTTAAATAGCTAAATCACCAAAAAAAAGCCCAGAAATAGGGAAACACATCCCTAAATGAACAGCAAAAAGGACACCTGTTTACAGTACACAAGGAGAGGGCAGAGCCTTACCACATTGGACCTCAGTGGGTCACGTACACACTTGGCCAACCCACATCTTCTTTGCCACCTGCACTGTACACAGGTGACCAAAATCTCTGGTGCATATTGATCTGGAAGTCACGAATACGTTTTAGTGAAGAGGTAAATTTGTGTACATGAAATCCATAAATAATGAGGACTGCTGTGCATATTTATAAATTATAAGTCATTGACTTGTCTAATGAAGACATTCTTCCAAAATCCAATTGGATGATTATTTGGGGAGGCTTTGTCTCTCGTGTTCTTGACCATTATTTAAACCTTTACCTGTCATCTTTTCCATCTGTTTGCTTACTTCCTTCATGGCATCTGTTTTTTATCTCATAAGGTACGATGAAGAGAGATCTTTTAAGAGAAGTGTGAGGTAAAAGTCCCCCAGGCTCTATTCACGCTGGACCCCATGTGTGTACTCCAGTGTTATTCTTGTGGGTGACCTCAACATGCTAGCAGAACAAGAGGTGGTTGTACCAGTCCCTTCCGCACCATTGCTAGTCTTTGTCCTGTGTGTAAAGCTGTTGAGGTCACCCTGATTTGCAGCAGGAACCACTAAACCGGATACACCCTGACTTGGCCCAGGCTGCGAGCTGACTCACTGTCCCCCACACCCACCCAGCTGTCCTCAGCTTTATTCAGCCAGCATGTTCTGGATCCCCTGCTACTTTATATCCACCTTTATGAAATATTTCCAAAGTAAGCATACGCGGCACTCAGTGGGAGGAAGCGAAGCCGCATTTGACTGAGTGTGTCTCCGCGTACCAGCGGCGTCTGTGAAAGCGCACACAGCCCTGGCGTTTGGCTCTGCTCTGCTGAGTTACTCTCTCATGCTCTGCTTGCTTCTTTTTTGTTTCTTTTGTACGTCGATAATTTTCGTTCATACAGACTGGATGAAGAACTGAGAGAAGCTTCAGAAGCAGCTAAGTAAGACTCAGTTTTTAGCAGCTGGCGCGATGTTGCTTGCATTTCAGGAGTGAGCGGGGAGAAGCTGCATGCCTGGTGGGTCACTCTTGCATCCTGATAGTAAAATGCTGGATTAGAAAAGACCCTTTCTTCCGTGGTAAATACAAGTCCTGTTCCCCTATGCTGTTGGTGATCTTGAAGAAAGTGTTGGTCACTGTTTAATTTGTTGGAACACATGTGTCTTTCTGGACACTTCCACAGAACATAGCACAGACACTGCCACACGTAGCATCCAGGTGACCTTTCAGGTCTACCGACACGACAGATCCTCACTAACTCACACTTAGGGTGACAGTGATGGCCAGAAAAATTTCATGTTTTTACAGCATGTAAAATGACAGTGGCAGCTTATTTAGTGACCTGGAAATATCACTTACCCGGCAGCCTCCAAGCTGTTTCACCAAGTAGGAAGAGGGGAAGTCACTGCTCACTTGTGTGGAATATGATGTTTAAAAAGGCAAAGTCAGGGTTCTTGTGAAAACATAAAAGGAGCATGTGCCAGGGACTGATTCAGCTGATTATTTAAGGAGAGACTCAGAAAGGCATTAAAATCAGTTTGAAGAGTATTTAAGAAGATCTGCAGTGTCCTCCCTATCTGCAGGGGATTTGATTGAAGGCATTCCATGGATGCCTCAAGCCAGAGATAGCACCAGATGCGTAGACAGAGTCCTGTGTTTACTCTTAAGCGTACATACCTATGATAAGGTTTAATTGATAAATTAAGCAGTGTAGGCAATTAATAACACTAACTAAAAATAAAATAGAGTAGGGCCAGGGATTTAACTTAGCAGCTCAAGCACTTTCCTGGTAAGCACAAGGTTGTGAGTTCCATCCCCGTTACCAAAAAAGATTAAAATAAAAAAGAACAATTATAACAATATATTATAAATTTATACTTAAAACGTATAAATTGTTTATTTCTGGAACATTCAGTTTAATATTTTCGGACCATATTTGGCCACTGGTAACTAAGCCCACAGAAACCAAAGCTGTAGGTAACAGTGCACTCCTGTGTAGGCAGCTTACAGGAGAAGGCTTGGAGAAGGTCGAGACCAGAACGCATGGTGGTAGATTGGAGACACAAATCTACATTAACCTCTGCCTCTCCGGAGCTGGGAAATTACCCTGGGGAGTCAGGAGGCGTCTCCTCTTCGTGTTCCTCAGTTACAAGTGACGGTTCATGTTCATTGTAGAACAAGATGTATTTGGGAAGTTTGCTGTCCTTGGTACGTTAAACTTCTTCCCTATTTCAGATAGTGCTTACACTATTCATTTTTTAATGAGCTCTCATTTTAATAGCAGAAAGCCTAAACAATGTCAAAACAGCCACACAGACTCAGTAAATAGGAATTAAATACTGATCGTTTTGTTCTTCACTGTGAAAGCCAGTTAGTTCTTCATCCAGACAGTCCAGGCACTTTTTCCCTGTGATACTTTTTAAATGCAGGTAGCTTATGGCACTTTCTGCCTCCATGTGGATCCTTTGTATTAAAAACCAAAGGAAAAGTTTGTGCAGGTGCTGCCAGTCTCAGGAGCCTTGGAGAACATTTGCCCTAAAGTAAAGGGCTGTGTAAAAACAATGAGATTTGAGGGGCTGGGGATTTAGCTCAGCAGCATAAGTGCCTGCCTTGCAAGCAGGCAGTCATGAATTCCTTCCCCGTACCGATAAAAAGAAAAAACAAAACAAAAAAAAAACAATGAGATTTGTTTTTAGCAGTCCATGCTCTTGCTTTGAATTCAGTGCATAAGTCATTTGCATGAAGAGCCCTTCCCCCAAGTGATTTTGTGCCTGTTTACAGTTAAATTAAAAAATATTTGCGCATTTGAGCAGGTATAAAAAGAAAGCTTTCTATTCTGTTGACTGCACAAATGAACGGAATCCTATTATGTTAGCTACAAACTACATCTCCTAAACTACCTTTCAGCCGCTGAAGTGGTCCCTAAGTCCTTGGACAGCCCCTGAGAATGAATTTTAGTTCAAAAAAACCACGGTCACTACAGATCTGTGGTTAGCACTGGACACAAATAGTTTCGTCTTGTATCCAGACTCCCCACAACTTTCTTAGACAGCTTCAAATGCGCACCCCCTCAAAGGACAAATGTATCTTGGCCATGGTGTTGCCGCATTTCTATTGTGCTTCTCCTCTCACATATATACTGTCAACACATAGGCTACAACACAAATCACCACCCCCAGTAAACTTAGAAGACAGTGTGTTCAGCCTGCCCCATCTTTTCTTTAAAACTTTGCTCTACACAGAAAGGAAAATACTTGTGAAGTATTTCTTATTTCACAAATGGGGAAGAATCCCTCTGCTGCTTTGGAGCGACAGTGTTAAGTGATTGGCAAATTGCTGTTTTCTTTGGAAAGATGATTCCAAGCTCAGAAAGCAAAAGGGCTGGATTTGGAAAAATGCCCTTTCTTGATCCATTCCAGCTTCGCTAAGTTTTTCTAGCACACTGTCAACACTTGCTTGACTGTCCTTATTCATTAAAGTTGCCAAATATTCTCCATAAAAATACCAGACCACCAGGAATAACAGTAGAGAGCAAGGGAAGGAAAAAAGGCTGCTGCCCTGACCTGGGAGATGCTTTTCTGCCCCTTTCAGCAAAATGGCTTAGTCTCAAACTTAACTGTGAAAGGATAAATTAGCTTATGAAATTATTCACATTACATTTACATTTAAAAAGGATCCCAGACTTCCTTCAAATACTTATTTGCCAAAAATATTTATAGGGAGGGAAGTCAAATTTGAAGGATAGAAAGTATTGATTGGGAATTAACTGAAAGCAAACTTGAAGTTTGCTAACAGAGGAACCATGACCAATTTTGGAATATCCAAAACAGCTAATATTGCCCACAAAGCATACACACAGCGAAAATCTTTTATTTCACTGTTTCACATGAATACATTTTTCTTCTTGGACATACTCAGTTTGAGTTATTGTTGAGATTCATTGGTGCTACCTGAACAGAAAGGAGTGGTGAGTGTCTGATTAGTTTTCTGTAACAAGAAAAGCTAACACTTGTATGTTTTCTTTTTAAATCTTGAAAAGTCCTGTATTCTTGTGAAAACTAAGCACTGTATTCATGTTTAAATAGAATTAAGCTCCTTAAGGAGACCTTCCTTTGCATATAAAATAGTTGATTGTTTGGAGTACAAATAACATTTTACAATACTTAGTTCACTGACTAAGAAAGATTTGACAAGTCAGGCAAAAAGAACAGGGACAGAGGAAGTTTGGAGTTTTAATCTTCCTTTTGTTTCCAAATTGGGTAATTATTTCAAAACCAGTGGCAAAAGAGACAGCTTATCTTGCCACGTGCTCAGGGGCAGATTTGCTCACTAGTTGCAACAGGACCACGTTAAGAGTTCCAGTGCCCCAATCAGTGATGCTGGCAGGAAGTAAGAATGGAGCAGACACTGACTGCCTCCTGTTTTCTCTTTCACTCAGAACTAGCTGCCTTTACAATGATCCAGAAGTGTCTTCTATGGAGAAGGAGTAAGGACCCCCATCAACAACAGCTGTGTGGTTACTTGTAGTGTTGTATGGCTGGGCTTGCAAAAAAAAAAAAAAAAAAAAAAAAATGCATTCAGGATTGGGTAACCCCCTTTAGATGTTTAGCTTTTATTGCTGTATTCCTGAAATTAGAAGTTTGAAGACAAATTTGCCAGCATAATCCTTCTGAGGACAACATAAAGTCTTTATATGACATTCTGTTTTGCAACCCAAAACTGAGGAGAAAATACTGGATCCAGATGTAAGAACATTTGGGCAAGAGGAACCCATCTCTGCTTTCTGAATTATATCATCTGTTTTAATTAGTGAAAGCTGGGACTTCTGTGCGAATGTAATATTTTGATGATAGAGGAGAAAGATCCTTGTTTTGCAGTTTCCAGGAGGCAGTTGAGTCTGCTCAGACTTTAGGAATGACCGGGTTGGGTGACTCCCTGCTGTGAGGAGCAGGAATCTGACACGTATTGAATCTGTGGCATGTGCCAGACTCTGTGTAAAAAGCCCACCCACAGTATCTAATTTAATCCTCAGCATAAGCTTAAGGTATGTCTTACAAATAAGAAAGTCCTAGAGACATGATCTGACCAGTTCTGTGATTTATTGCCATAAAAATGGCCCAGAGAAATATATGCATATACTGACCTGCCAAAATGAATCTCATTATTCTGTATAACTAATGCTCATTAATAAAAAAAAAATTAAGCTGCCCAGAACTGGGATCTGAAACTTAGTTGTGTAGACCAGGATCCAGTAATTTTTGAATCAGAAAGAGGAGCTCTGTATGCTCACATCAGAGTGCCCTCTTTTAAGGATAAAAGTTACTCACCTAAGTGAACAGAGCTCAGTAGTGGCCAGATCAGGATCAAGAAAGCAACTGTGACCTCCCAAAAAGGGCTCTTTAATTGGCCTTGGATGGGAGAGCATGAGTGTTGTCTTTATTCCCAGAAACCAAGAAGAAGAGGCCCTTTCAATGTGTGTTGTCACCTTTTTTGTTCCCTCAAGATCTAAGGAGGAGTTGGAAAGATGCAGTGAACTGCTTCCGCAGTTGCCACGTTGACTTTTCAACTTAGAGGAAGTACAAAAACAGGATTTCAGAACGTCCCCACTGAAAAGGGCACAAAGAACAAGTCTTAATCACATGGCTATATTTCTGAAAGTCGCTGTTGTCCTACCTTTTCAGATGAAGGCTACAAAACAAATTGCCACATGAAATTCTGCAGAAGAAAATGTCTATCTCAGTCCACTGTAATCCACTTTGCAAATGTATTCTGCAAATGCAGTGCATTTTCTCCTTTAGCAAAACAGTGCTGCTTGAGCAGCTACAGCTTGCAGCCAAGTTAAGGCGCATTGTGAAGGGCGTGTCCCGAATCCCGGTCACTCAATGGCCTGTCAGCTAATGGCTGTACATCTCTGGGCTTACCCACTCCTCTGCCGCTTTGCCTGGTACACAGGGCTCTGGGTTGGGAGGAGGAAGGGCATTGCTGCTAGTTTGGGTTGTCTGGGTTGGGGTGTGGGGAGGAGGATGCTACAGGCTGTTACATAAATTCCCACTTGCTGTGTCTCTGTCCCACACCACACAGGGCACAGAATCACTCTGAGGAGGGTGTGATTCTCATGTGGGACAAGAAAGTTCCTTTTTTTTTCCCTGACTTCCAGTCCTAGATTTTTGGCTTTCTTGGGGTTAGAATGCAGGGCTTTGCTGAAGTTCTTCAGCTTCTGTTCAACACAGGCTACTGGGGACAGGGAAGAATACTGTACGGAAGCATTTTACACTATCTGGAGCCCACTATCTGGGAAGGGTAAAGGGTAAAATGGACACAGTCTCTTTCAAGTGCCTCGGTCAGGCTGAGAATAGAACATATGTGCTGAAGCTGCCAGGCTCTCATTTTCCTCCGAGACAGAAGGGACAGTTAATGCCTTCTCCCTTCTCTTCCTGCATAAAATACGTGTTTTTATTCGTCATCAAATGAGACTGTCAGGTACTTTGTAAAGAACCTCATTTAATTCATTAGAAGGAAAAATAGCCTATTGTAATATTATCAGAAGGTCACTATGTTTCATTGCAAAGTTGATTGTAAAAAACTTAGTTTGCTGTGAGATATACTCCTTTAAATTTCTCAGTTCTGATTAAAAGTAATTTTTCCCAAAAAGGATTTTTAAAAAAAATAAATGTAGGAAAACAAATTTTGGAAAAATAGCCCTATGTATGTTTATCCTTCACCTTTAGGTTCAGATTTTATGTATGTATTCATGTCCTAAGCCTGTTGCATGGCTTCAGTATTTTTACATATATTTAAAATTATATGATCAAAGGTGGTTCCATTTGACTAGATTTAAATTAGTAGTGTTGGCAGTAGCTTTATTCATGCTATGCGATAACTGTTATATCAAAAGTTCTTCAGACTGCTTCCTTGTATTAGCTTGTAAGGAAGTTGTCAGCGTTTAACTGTCTCTTTGCTCTTCTCATAAACTGGGTAAGTAGGTTTCAGCATTCTTTCGTTATCAAAAAGGGATGAACTAAACCCTAGAAAGTTTACAGAATAGTCAGAAAAAAGTAGAGTGGGCAGCCTGGTGTAAATGTCAGCTCAGATTTTTATTGGCAGGAAACACAATGACCATGTCCTTGCAGTTTTCAGAACTGTCACTTGCACTCAGTGGTTTAGACTTTTCAGGCAATGTTCCTCCAATTTTGGCTTAGCGGTACCTTCCTGGCTCGTGACAGAAAGTGAGCCAACTCTGTGAGAAAGAAAATAAAATCATAGCTGCCAGATCAGAACTACTACAGACTTCTTGGAAGTACTGCAGCTCAAAGTACATATTAGAAGCAGTGCTCCAGCAATATAAACAGCGACCTTTCCCGCAACGGTATGTTAGGGGAAAGCTCTGTGGAGAAAAGGAGCACATCTCCAAAGTGAAATGCTGCAGAGCAGATGACAAGACCTGGCACCTGGCAGCCTTCATGGTGCCAAGGATGGCCAGGCTCCAGAAACACTAAAGAGACCGGATCATTACAAGCAGAGTAACTGAAGTGAAGAGGTAATTTTCCTGTTGGAAAAAGCACCTGAGGCACTGCTGTTACTAAAGCATTAGACACAGTCAGTGCTCACAGTTGAGGACACCCCGGGCTGGAGCCTCCTCAACGTGCTGTGAGAGGTGCGCTTGCTCCGTTTACAGTGCACAGGTGGAAAGTGTAGAAGGCAGGAACCCTGGGCCAGTCCCCACAACTGCACAGGCTGAACTTGCAGGGAACCTTTCAGAGGAAGCGTCCTTTACAACTAGACAAGCAGCATGGGTTACCAGTGGCTTCATTTGCAAAACTACCAGAAGGAACACTATTCAGCTGCCAAAATCCCGCAAGTAAACACCGATAAGGCCTTGTAGCAGGCACACCAGTGAGTCGGGAGGCCAGTGACAGTGCAGTCTGCAGATATTTCCTGAATTGTCTTTTTCAACCAATAGTGTCTCGTCTTTTAATGACTTGAATTCCTCTGATTATTTACTGGCCTTTAGTTCTCTTCCTCTAGGATAGATGTACCAGGAATTTGTATTCCGTCCATTAAACAGCAGAAGACAGAGGGACACAGGTGGCTTAAGGGAAAAGTTGGTTTGTTTTACAAGGCTGGAGATGGACCCCAGGGCCTTGCAGGTGCCAGGCAAGTGCTGTATCACTGAGCTATACCCCCAGTCCTAAGAAAATTTTAGACTTATTCCCTAGATATCTGGGAACCCAGATATGCTCCCAAGTCTTCTTTTTACTTAGTTATTAAAAGCCATTTTATTAAATTAGCTACTCCCTTAAATTAAATAAATCCTTTTACTTCTAGAAAATAATTTTTTAAATTTTATATTTTTGTTTTGGTCATGTTTATTTTACTGTTTACCACTTTTGCTATTTAGCACTTGTCAGGTATTACTTATTTCAGGCAGATTATTATGTTGCCTTTACAAGTTTATTAAGCAGGGTTTTCAGAGAAACAAAACCAATGGACTATATATTCATTCATAAAATTTTAAGGCTCCTGCAGAAACAGAGGCTTGAGAGCCCACAGTGGCCTCCTGTAGGCTGACATCTAGGAGAGCCAGAGCTGCTCAGTATGGGAAGCCGAAAGTCCCAGCACAAGAGGCCAGTATGCAGCCTGGGTGGCAGGCTAAAAGCCTAAAAAGCCCCTGGAGGACTGCGCACAAGTGCTCAAGGTGTGGAGAACTTGCAGCCTGAGGTCCACAGGCAGAAAAATGCACCCTCCGAGGGAGTACCAGCCAAAGAACCCCCGCTCCTCTCCACCTGGCCTGCCCCTGCTATGATCTGCCCACCTTCCAGCGTGTCTAGTTCACTGCCTCAGGGTGGCTTCCCTAGGAACAGCAGACACTTGCCTCCCTCAGCCCAGTCAGGGCCAGCACAGGAGTGTCCATCACTACGAGGAAAGAGCATGTACCAGAATTTCCAAAACAGACTACTAATGGCCCCTGTCTGAACTGACTTCAGAGACAAGCCTTAACACAATACATTGTGTGTTTCCTGGGGTTACTCTATAAAGGGGTAAAATACCTTCAGACAAAATGATCATCCTGTTTTGGAGAAAAGTTTAGCAACTAGGGGAAGATTGTGTTTCACTAGCTTTTTCTTTAAAGCATTTGCATGATTTATTTTCAGTAAGCCTTTTAAGGGAAAAAAGCAAAGACATCCCACCAAATCATTACTGAGTGTTTCTCCTTTGATTTCTCCTGTTTCTCTCTTCTCACAGTATGAACCTGCAACTGAAGGAAAACCCCTAGCTGGCTCTGGCTGAGGAGAAGGCTGCTCTTGGCTTTATGATTCTGCAGAGAAACACACCTACCTGGAAGAGATAGGGCTGGCGTCACATTTTCCCATTTTGCACTACCTGGTGCCACTCTAAATTTCCAAGAGGGGAACAGGAAAGGAGTCTGTTTACTTTTATCATGATCTGTGTGAAACTGCATTATCCTGTTTTGCCAGTTATGTGCCTCGGAGCTTTTAGTTGAGCCTTAGCAAGAAAGTAGGACCTTCCATTTCAAGATTTAGTGAACCCTCAGTCAGTGGTATTTGGTCTCTTCGGTAATGTTTACCACAACAGAATATTAACTTTAAACCCCCTGTAAGGATAAGTAGACTTCTCCTTAGACCGCTAGATTGCTTCGTGGTGATAACTTCAAATTTTGAATACAATAGGCTCACACTCTCCTCTCCCCAGCGAGAGTTGCTGCTTGCAATGCCACCTTTGAAATCCTAAGCCTGCTTAGCAAGCCATGAGCCAGATGTGGGTGTAAAACATCTTCAGCTAAGTGTATCGTCACATGAGTCTTGCACTTCTCAGAGAAGCTAGCCTTCCATATATCAATTTTACCTGAGCTATGATTTTCAAAAATTGATCTTTTAATTTTTTTAATATTTTTTATTTTTATTTTCCTTTTGTCTGAGACAGGATCTCACTACACAGTTCAGGCTGGCCTTGAGCTCACTTTATTGCCCAGGCTCTTTTCAAACTTGCAGTGATCCTCTTGCTTCAGCCTCCTGAATGCTAGGATTACAGGCGTGTGCCATCATGCCTGGCTAAAAATTGATCTTTTAAAATACTGTTTTCTCCAACAAATTGTGAATGCCTTCATTTGCAAAATCTAAGGCTGAATGTTAGTGGCTGTCTGCACTTTAGGCCACAAACCAGGCTCAAGAAGTTATACTTTTAAGTGCCAAGCGCTGAAACCTAAAGCAGCCCATCAGAAATTATTTAGGAATATTCAGCTATCCAGATTCCCCTCACATGCATCATAGAAAGTGAATTTCTTTAAGACATTCTAACCTGACCACAGGTTTGTAATTAAATGTATGTGCTACCATTTACAAAATAGTTTCTAATTTTCATACACCTTTTAAAATGGCAGTGCAACTTCAGGCTGTTGGCTTTTAGCAGAGAGCTCGGGAAACTTCCAACTCTAGAGCATCATCATAAGCTAACGGTGATCTTCACACGTTTATGGTTAAAAAATATAATTTTTCATAATACAAGAAAGTTATTCAAATTTTAGTAGCCGTACATAAAGTGGTACTGAAGCACAGCCACAGAAGTTTGTTTTCCTGCTGTCCACAGCTACTTTCACACCACCTCAGGAGAGCTGAGGAGTTGTTACAGACCATTTGGCCACAAAGCCAAAAACATTTACTGTCTTAACAGAAAGTTTACCAGCCTCTACCATACCAAATACACCATTTCCCACCCCACCTCCCCCATTTGTAATTGACTTGTCCAGCAGAATGGACAGATAAGGCTATAAAATAATATTTTTTCTAGCAAAAAGAAATTTTCTGTGTCTGCAGACAATCAGAATACACGATCTGCTGGAAAGGATAGAGTGCATGGTGTGGAAGCCTTGCACAGGTTGTAACTGCAGCTCTCAAAGTGAGCTCTTCTTATGAGTCCCCCTGAGCTACTCCTGGCATCCTGGAGGTCCTTGAGCACCATCCTTAATTCCCCGGAAACACCTCTGATAGTAACCTGGCGGAAGGCCAGGTGATGTGGAAAAGGGCTCTGCCGTGGTCTCAGGGTAGCAGCTCCACTGGGGACAGCTGTCCAGGATGCATTGAGCCTTGGGTACAGGAGCCCTGAGTTGCTTCAAAGTAGACACCTTTGCCTTGATGACTGAGCTGCTCTGCCCTTCTGTGCTCCGTGTCTGCTTCCACTTACCTCCACACGTGCTCACACAATGCATGAGTTGGCTCTTCCCCACATTAGCCTCTCTAATTATCCATCATCCCTTCTTGTGCCTTTCAACTTAGAAAGCATCCTCGTTTGGGCCCCCTTTCTCATGTCTGGCTGGCCTTCTGACAGAAACCCTGCACCCACCCAGTGTCCCCCTACCTCTGCCCTTGGAGGCCCAAAGAATGCCGTAAGTACAGTTCTGCTCACCTGCTTCACGCCTTCCTCAGCAGTGCTCCATTCTGCAAGGTGAACTCCATGGTCTCTGTAGCCATGTTGAGCCCCCCTCATGCATAATTGGAGTCCAACTCAGTGGTACAGACCAGAGGACACCGAGACTGGGCAGAGGACTCCTGTTCCAGCCAGCCAGGCGTGGCAGCAGCTGACCACTCGCGGTCCTCACAACTCACCCACTGCTCATTTGGAGACACCACGCGGGTTTGAAGCTTTGTCTTCCCACGCTGGCCTGGTGGGCGTCTTTCCCAATCCAGCAGGACTGTTTGAGCTGTGTGAGGGCTGCAGCTCCAGTCTGAGGCTTAGGTATCTGCTATTTTATTACCTTAGGAAGACACATTAGTTCATGCGCACATACTAAAGAAAAGCTACCGTGTGAATTCCATCCCAGTAAACAGAAACCTAGGTGAATCCTGAAAAAATAGTCCCTACACAGATAGGTAGGCAGGTGTAAACTTTCACATCATTCAGCTCCGGCTCTTGCATTCTAAGCACTCTTGCTTTGGTTCTGACTTCTGAGAACTGCTTTGCACTTTGCCTGTACCTTTGTTGTTAAAGGAACCAAGGGCTCATTGTGGGGCAGAAGTACTGCTTTTATTCAAAGTGGCAATATTTTTTGCATAGCTCTCTGTTAAAGCAAAAACAAAAATTTGCACTGAAGATATTGCGGGAGGGGAGAAGGTTGGAGGGCAGCAGCTGGGGAAGGAAGAGACCCTGGTGTCCTGCTGGAGCCCTGGGTGTTTACAGGGCTCCTCCTGCGACCTGTGCTGGGAAGGGGAGGAGCACTGCTGCTGTCTTCAGGAACGCACCTGACCATGTTAGCACCGCACGCATCTCCTTACAGCGCCTCAGTAGAAACGCAGGTGTGCACAAATTAACCTTTTATATATTTAAAGATTTTTCTACTGTGTATAGGATTGCTCAGAAAAAAGTGTGGATTAGACTTTGTTTTGGTAAATAAACTCCCTAAACTGTGGATTAATAATATAAAAATATGTAACAATATATCTATATCTATAACCTTCAGAAATAAAAGTCGATTCCATATGTTCATGGCTTGCCTTCTCTGAGTCAGCAACAATTTTTGCACAGCTTTGTTTTGCGACAATTTTATTTGGACATCCGTCGGCTTGGCACTTGGTACTGGAGGACTGTAGATACTCAGGCCTGGGCCACCCAAGCTTCATTCTCTCTTTGTTTTTACCTTTCATGTGTCAGAGTTTAATCTGCTGCCTTTTCAAATGCATTGTTTACTCCTGGTTGAACAGCCTCTCATTTTGGAAATGTCTCCGTCTTTCATGGTCATTTGGTTTGCCGACTCTTCTGTCCCTTGGTGAGCATGGGCGGGCCCTGCACTAAACATGAGCACGTGTGCTCTCTCCATTTGCTGTCATTCCATTTCAGTGGTTTTGTTTCAAACTTTTGTCACCTTCATGATGAACCAGAATTAGGAATTACCACTGTGCTTTTAAAAACAAAAGGAAACAATAAACAGATATGGACTCCTGCCTGCTGTCTGGACGGCTGTGGACTGACCAGGTGAGATGGTGCTTTCAGTAACTGAGGTAACATATGTTCTAATGAACTAGAGACGAGTCCAGAGATGTTTGCCTCCATGGAAAAAGGGAAGAGGCAGGACAGGAGGTTGACATGTAATCACAGGCAAATGAAGGAAGACAGATTGGATCTGCTGTGACTCCCTAACGCAAATGTCAGCAATTGGAGGAAGGCTGTGTGGCCAGCAGTGGAAGCGGAGCAGGCAAACACTGGTGTGCCACACATTGGGGAGAAGCAGCAAATCGTGTTTACAAAGCAACATGTAAACCGTAAGAGCTGAAAAAACTATAGCACAATGCTATTTATGTAACTTGTAACACAAAGCTGTGTATTGTACAGAGTCCATGCATGTTCAAGGACTTGGCACACTCAGGGTAAGTGTGTGGCGTGAGGGTCAGGGATGCAGTTGGAGTCTAAATCAAAGTGAAAAGAGGGCTGCTTTGACTGAAGTTTAAAACTGGAGAAATGCAGACCACATTTCAGGCACTGAAGTCAGGACTTCCAGTGGCTCATTGAAAAGCTGTCATCAGCACTTGCATCCCCAAGGGGACACCCCTTGCACAGCTCCTCATGCTATTTCTCTGTGCTCACAGAAACCATGTGCAGTTCCAGGAGGCCGCCCTGGTTACATCATCCTTTGCAGTCGTGGAGCTTTTAATGAAGCCAGTGCCTTTGGACACATCAATCCTCACATGCTGCGGGCTTTACAGAGCAAAGACACTTGCTTATGAGGCTAATTAACCTGAATAGTGCCGGTTCACATTCACCCAAAATAACTCTTTAACCAGGGGAAATTTTGTTTTTCTAATATGTAACCACTAGAATGATAGTTAGATGGCAGGTATGGATAACTGTTATCCTAAAAGGCGAGGACACTGACCTGGTGCATGCTGACCTAACACTGCTGGAGAACACAGAGCCAGCTTCCTGTGAGCCTCAGGCCACAACATTTCTGCCAGCTGACCCATAATACGCAAGCTTGTTTTGTGTGGTTTTGTTCAGAGACGCCTTATTGAATACATATTGTTGGTTTGTTAGCCAACAGCCTGACTATAACTCATGGCTGAAAAAGGTTCTCTTAACAGATCTGGTGTCTCCGTAAGGGGCATAGGTACATGGGGCATGTACCTAGCATATGGATTCTGTTCCCAGCACCACAACAAACAAAACAGGTACATCACAGCCTTCTTGCAATCAAGAACAATAGATGGCCAGCATCACTGCAGCTGGGAGATATTTTAAACAAATCATCAGCAAAGTAAAGTCAAAAAAGAAAAACTGTTTTAGAGCTATGTAGGCTGTGAAAAGGGGTGCTTTATAGTATGAGAGCTAAGAAAGGCTTAGTGCTGAGGGCATCTCCTCAGGAAACTTGGGTTTTATGACACTGTATACATGTCCAAAGACAATAAGTGTGAGGAGTGTTACTTTAGGAATATAAATAAATTTAGTGAGTAAGTGAATTTGCAAGTATGGAATCCGTGGGGAATAATGAAGCCTTACGGTGTCCCATAACTTGATAGGAATAAAGAGCACTCACCTGCTTTCATCATCTTGTGGGTATGGGAAGTCCAGGCACACTGTAGCTGGTCCTCCACTTCCGGTGTCTTGCAGGTGCAATCAAGGCACTGGCCCAGGGTCTCTTACAAGGAGCCATCAGGGGATTTTTGTTTTGTTTTGTTTTTTCATCAAGGTTTTACTTGGACAGAATCTACACCCTCACTCACTCATCTGGTTGTTGACAGGTCACAGTTTACTGACAGGGGTTGGGGAACAGAGGGCTTTACTGCTGGTTACCTGTACCTTGCATGCCACTCTAGAGTTTTCGCCTTATGGTTCTGTTCAGCGTGGCAGCTTGTATCTTGGAAGTCAGAGAAATACTAGTAAGATGGAAGTTACGACTTTTAATGTGATCTCAGAAATGATATTAAGTTTTACTCTGTTTTTAGAAATAAATACACAGGTCCAGTCCACCCTCAGTGGGAGGTACCAACAGTGTAAACACCCTGAGGTGTCATGAGGCCACTTGAGAAGCTGCCCGCCTACCATACCCCAGGCCTTCTGCAGTTCCTTCTTCAAGCAGCCTGATCTTCTCACCCATGTTGCTCTTTTCTTTCCCCTTTCTGCTGCCTCTCTGAAATTGCTTTAACTCTGTCATACCCTGGTTTCAATCTTAATCTCTCTCTTTTTTTTTTTTTCTTTTTGGTACCAGAGATCAAACTCGTGACCTTGCACTTGCCAGGCAGGTGCTTATGCCACTGAGCTAAATCCCCTGCCCTCAATCTTAATCTCAGACCATCCTTATTCCACTCAATCTCTATGGCCTCTCCAATCTCCCTGTAAGAAAAAAAACATTAAACTCTTCTCTGAATTGATGAGACCATTTTCTGCCATTTCCTTGTCTGAAATCACAAATAGTGGGGGTTTTACTTCCTAGCCATATTACTCTGTGTGGCTTCCCTCTTTGAGCCTTACTTTATCCAGGTTTTGCAATGTGGATTAAAATTCTCACAAGTTGGGGGCTGGGGATTTAGCTCAGCGGTATAAGCACCTGCTTTGCAAGCAGGGAGTCATGAGTTCGATCCCTGGTACCGATAAAAAGGAAAAAGACAAAAAAAAAAAAAATTCTCACAAGTTTATGTAATAGTTGAGTGGGACTTAAATTCCCAGCCTAGTGCTTAATAAAGAGAAGACATTCAAAATGCTAGTTCTGTTTTTCTGTTTTCTTTTCTTCATCTTGATAGAATTGTGGCGTGGCTGAAAAGATAAAAAAAATAAAATATAAATGACCTTTATTTTAAGAATGCGGGGAGAGACCCCCCGACCCTCCAGAGTCTGGCATAGTCCCTGGGGTCTGGTAATCTCTCCATCGGACACGTGGAGTGGGGGCATACATGTAGCTTAGGTTTGGGGTGGTGCCTGAGGGGCATTAGTGATGCGCAAGTAGCCCATTGATACTCATTTCGCATCACAGGTAAATTCCTAGGGATGGGGAAGATGGAGCCACAGGTAAATTCCTAGGGGCAGGGAAGATAGAGCTCCCTGGTTCTGCCTCCAAGGCTTTACTGGCTAAAGTGTCCAGTCTGGACCAAAATCCTTTCAGTCCCATCTTTTGATTATTAGGAAAAAGGGTGGAGATTTGTTTTTTTACTGCTTCCTGCTGGAAGGGGGCGCTGTACTGGGGTTTAGGAGTGTTGACAGGATGACGGTGATGCCCATGTAGAAGCTGGTGCCAGGTGTTTTAGCCAGGACAACTTTATCACTGGTGAATGCACGTATGTTAGACTGGAAAAACAAAGAGACAAGATGTTATGAGGAGGCATGGCAGTATCATATTTAAGGACCCAGGTGAGGTAAAAGGAAAGGTGCCTTTGATTTTGATGTGTCATTATATCAGGACCACATTGAGGTAGAATCATTGCCACAGTAAGGTAGAATTCTGAAAAATAAATATGGGGTTAGGAGGAGTGAAGTTATGAGAGGTGATTACTCCCTCATCTGAAAGGGTAAAAGTTAAGAAGGTAGGTAGATAAGGCTTGTCTCTGGTATGCATGACGTGGGAATCTTTAGGAAATGTTGAGTCCTGCTGTAAAAAGGGTAAGAAATTAGAAACCAAGTTAGATAACAAAACATGACAGCCTGAGAGTTGTGGCTGTGAGACCCTGGTGAGGTGGAGACGAGTAGGCAAAAGGATGGTTAGATCTAGGGCTGGAAGGGCACCACTTAGCCTGAGTGATGTGAAACCAGGATGGCAGTCTAGCAACTTTGACCGCTGTTGAGGTGGCCAAGAAGACCAGGTATGGACCGCTTTAACTTGGTTGTAGTCCTTGGGATGATTTGCTGTAACAGGACTTTAGTAAGTATATCAGCAGTCTCCCTGGTTGTGGGAAAGGCTTTTATGTATCCTGAAAAAGTATAAACAAAGGTGAGAAAACAAAATTTAGACGTTTACTAGCAATAATAGGTATAAGCTGTTGAGACCTTAGAGTGTCTGGGTTAGTCTGTATAAACACAAGGGAATAAAAAGCATTTTTAAGATTTAGGACTGTAAAGTGAGAGGTGGAGGAGCACCACTGGGTGGACTGGGAAGGAGCAGTCTGGGACCTGCGTGTAGACCCTGTTTGTAAATGGCATAGGTTGACCATCAAGACCCCCATAGAGACTGAGGACTTAATATAGCGGCCTGAAAACTCAGGAAGAACTCTATATGTGTGGCCTCTATGCCCACAAGTATAGAGAATGTCTTACCTGAGACTTTTAATGGGACTTGGGGTCCTGAAACAGACACCTTAAAGTGGGCTGTTATTGGCCCTGAGCCCTGTCAGTCTTCAGCAGCAAGTTTAAGCAGATCTGTCGGCGATGAATCTGGCAGTGTTGGCATTTCCTGTGAGGGCTAGAGGTTAGGATGGCTTACCCACTCTCTGGTGGCTAGGACAGTCCAGTAGCCCTGGGGTAAGATCCCAAAGGAATGCCAAGATGGTGCACTCTTGCCCAATGTT